TATTCCTGTTGGTTCTTGATCCTCTTGGTCCTTCATTCAATTACCTACACTAATTAGAAGATCCCACCAGGATGGATTTGTAATTCATGATTCACCTCTTCACAGGAACAAACTTCCCTGTTTAGGAATTTTTTCAGTTGAGTATAAGGTCAGAAACCTTTTATTAAGTCATAAATATGTTGAAGATTCTGTTGCTAAGAGAGGCATAGCTTCTCAACAAAGGCAATAGAATTCTCTGGTCAAAGTTTTACTTCAAACAGGATAGTTTCTGATTATCCTTTAGCAGAGAAAGGAGAAGTTGGAGTCTTACTCATAGGAAACTTGGATGAACACTCCAGGGACACTGAGTAATTCACTTGTCTTAGAAAGTGACTCTTTCAGCAGAGTCTTTCTTTGACTTGCTTGATTTTGGTTGTGAACAACTATTCTAAAGTGCATTCAGACATGGAACATTATCTTTTTTTTTTCTGATTACAACACTCCTGCTGATTTGGTGTCTCTCAAGACCTTTCAATGTTTCTTTGGAGCCACTAGCAACCAGGCATAAGATATCTCTAAGACTGGAACAGAAGAAAAAAAATGTTTTTAAACTCAGTAGCTTAAAAACTATGACTATGAAGCTTCCACCTGTCGATATCACAGAGGTTAAGTAGAAACAAAAGTAAAGTCAGTGGACTTTATTTTTATTTTAGTTTATTTGCTTATTTGAAACTGCTCAGGACTTACTCCCGGCTTTGTGCTCAGAGGTCATTCCTGGAGGAACTATATGTGGTGCTGGGATCAAACTGGATCAGTCACATGCAAAACACCCTACAACTGGACCTTTAACAATTATTTTAAATAATAATAGAAATATTATTATTTTATACTTGCAGTGATAGGGTGGAGTGATAGTACAGCGGGTAGGGGATTTGCCTTGCATGCAGCTGACCTGGCCGACCCAGGCTATTCCTCAGCCCTTCTCAGAGAGCCCGGCAAGCTGCCGAGAGTATCTCGCCTGCACAGCAAGCTACCCGTGACTTATTCGATATGCAAAACACAGTAACAAGTATCACAATGGAGACGTTCCTGGTGCCTGCTCTAGCAAATCGATGAACAACGGGAGAACAGTGGACAGTGACAGTGACAGTGACTTGCAGTGATGCTAATACCACACCTACACCAGATCCCTCTACCATTGTTCCAAGAGAACTTTTCCTCTCCCTTCCCAGTAATCTTCAGATCACAGTTCGGTTGGCCAAATCTCAGGGATTGTTTCCATTGGATTACACAGGAAGGACCTCAAAACTGCAAGCACTTCGGTGCAAGTACTTCAATGATGTAAAATGTCATGAATGCCATGGGTTTTAATCATAAATCTGATCATGAATCATACATTTAATCATAAATCATTTATCTGAGAGGTTGTTCAAAATCAGGAAATTCTGGGGAAAAAACTATTTTAAGTGGAAGTGCTGTGCTAACCCAACAGACTCAATTCTTATCTCAGCTTTAGTTTTAACCTCCCCCCAAGAATGCACTCCGAAGGGATTTCCATACAATCAGTGCTGCAACCCTGGCTCTATCCACCTGTACAGCCTGTAGCGGATGAGTGAGTCTCTAGTCACCTTCTGCGTCCTTCCCATCTGCTACTTGTTTGGTTGTTCGCTTTGTTTGCTTGTGGGAAGTAGAGTCATGGTTATATATTAGACTACATTTCCTATTTAAACCAGATTGCCAACTTTGAAGATTTAGGTTCCAGCAAATGAAAATAAGACCTTTTAATCAGAATGAAGTACCAGATGAAATACAAGATGCAGAGTTTATCAGTACTAGCCTATTTTCTATACAAGCTGCGGAGCTGGCCACGATTTACTTTGGACCCTTAGGGGACAGGTTCATTGGGGCAGTTGACATTTGCCGAAATTCTAAGCTTCATCAAAATTCACCCTGGAGTATGTTACAGGTCCCCCTTCTACCATCAGGCAGACACCTACTCTGGGACACCCGTCACACCAGTGGGCAGAACTGGTGGGCAACAGCTATCACAGAGTTAAGCAGGGAAGCAAAAGGAGTTTCTGGGGTCCCCTTCATCCTGTTCTATACCCTCATTCGGATGCATAGTGTCAGAAGGACCCCAGGCCAAGTCAGTGCCAGGAACTAGACCCCCTGAATAGGGTCCAAGCAAAGGTGCCAAGAATAATCAAGAAAACTGGAGAGAACTCTGATCAAAGCCAACAGTGAATGAGGAGTCCCTTTTCAGCACACCCCACTGACACTGATTGTTTCTAGTCTTTTTGATACATGACATTTTCATTGGTGGAAGCTGATACTACTGCTCTGATTTGTATTTCCTGATCATCAATGACAATGAGCACCTTTATATATGCCTACTTACCATTGTATGTGTTCTTCAAGCAAGTGTCATTTCATCTCTATCTTTTTTTTTTATAAATTTTTGTTGGCTTTTTATTATTGTTGTTTTTGAGCCTTGTGGATGAGGTTGTCTTGGAGGTTTAGCCCTTTATCTGATTTGTTGCATGCAAGTATCTTCTCCCAGAAAGTAGAGTATATTCTTTATTTTAGTTCTAGTTTCTTTTGTCAGCTAGAGTCAAAAACTTTTCAATTTTATATAGTCCCCTTTGTTCATTTTAATTTATCTTTGCCAATGGAGTCAAATAAAATCGCCTCTGAGGATTATAAAAAAAACTGGACATAAATAAGAGACAAAGCCTGTGGTTGATATGGCAGGAGTGGAAAAGTGGGCTGCCAGCCCGCCAGGTGCACCCTCTCCACACTCACCTACACCCTGTGGGTAGCAGCACCAGGTAAGGATGGATGCAGAATCCCAAAGGGGTCAGCTCATACCCATGACAAGACAGTAGGGTGTGAGACATCTTTGTGCTTTTGACTGGCTGGAGATTAAGAAAAGCTGAGACACATCAGGGAACCCCTGGGGTACAGTCCTTGGGGCCCAGCAGCAGGTACAGGGATCTTGCCCACATGCATGTGGCTGTCGCCAGACCCTAAGGAAAATCTTATCGTGGGAGAACTGCTAGGATGCTGTCCTTAGCTGACCCAGTGACAAGATTTGGGCTAGGAAAGTGTGCACTGGATAGAGAATGCTGTAGGGATAAGATCAGGCCATTCTGGAGAGACCGCACCCTTCTGCTTGGACTGTACAATAAATTCCAACTTAACCTTCTGAGATTCGTATGCAAATCTTACATACAATTTTCAAGAACCCACTAGAGCTGGAAAATTCACTTTTGCACAATTAGGGTCTGTGTAACAGCCTCGTGGGAGGAGAGGCTAATATCATGGACTGAACCCCGACTATCCTTTTGATATTTATTGCTTTGACTTAAGAATCAGGCAGAAAATATTCTAACTGGACTAAACCTTTTACATACTTGAGGGCCTCATGTATGGGGACAAACATCCTTCCTGTGGCTTATCTCAAGGGATTGTTCCTTCCGGAAAACTAGCAGCAAACAACCCTTGCCTCAGGAACTTGACGCATCAGTGTCAGCTTTCTGGATTTCTCAGTTCTGTTTTCTGCCATCATGTTTCTTTTTTTTTTCTTCTTCTCATTAGGGCACAATAAAATTAGGATAGGACAACAACATGGGCAAGGAGTGGGAGAGGAACAGCAATAGAAGAATTCTGATCCAACAAAATCATGCTCAATGTCAAATCCCAATTCCACCATCATCAGGTCATTCTGGCCACTCATCTCTTGCCTTCTTGCATTGATTGTATTTCTTCCTTTCTACCAATCCCAGAAGAGTGTGGAGCAGAGTTCACTCCTTGAGGTGAGGAGAGAAGAACTTGTTCCCCAATTTTGCCTCTACCCAAAGTTACTGAATGAGCAGGACTGTGACTGGCCTTTGTCCCCAGCTCTCCCTGCAGGCCTGGTACCCTGGACAGATCATCACACCCCTCACCTCTGACACACACACACACACACACACACACACACTTCTCATGTCAGCAGCTGCCGGCTTCCCGCACCAATGTTCCTCCCAGGATCTGTCAAGACTCCAGTCGAACATGTGGCTCTTCTTCAGTCTCCTACCAGCTCCCTGTAGCACTTCCTGTGTGGGACACTGGCAACTCTGGTACCTGTGTTTTCAAGGTCTTTTCTCCATGAAGCTATTAGTAGGACCAGGTTGATTTTCAGTAAGTGTGTGAATTTTTCCATTCAATTAGCTGAATGAGCGCTTTTATTTTTGAGTAGGAATAGTAAGCCACTGAGCATCCCATCCCTAACCCCAGCCTTTCCCCAGTGGCTCACAGTGGTGGTCCCAGCTGACCACTCAGTGCTCCCGGGCTGTTCTGGGTGCTGACCCTTCTCAGTCCTGCAGAGGGACAGCGAGAAGGAAGGAGACAGGATGTGAGTCAGTGTGGGATGACGTTCTCATGCCCATGAGCCCTGCCACTGTCACGGCCCTGCTGCCACAGGTTGTTTAAAAACATTAAGGGGCCCCAAAACTAAGACATAAGTTCTGAATTTGCAAGGGGCTTACACTGTTACTGTCACTGTCCTCTCATTGTTCACTGATTTGCTCAAGCCGGCCCAGTAACTTCTCCATTGTGACACTAGTTACTGTGTTTGGCATATCAAATACATCACGGTTAGCTTGCCAGGCTTTGCTGTGCGGGAGAGATACACTTGGTAGCTTGCCGGGCTCTCCAAGAGGGGCAAAGGAATCAAACCTGGGTCGGCCGCGTACAAGGTAAATGCCCTACCTGCTGTGCTATCGCTTCAGCCTCATGGGACTTACAACGAATTTTAAAAGATCTCAAGAGAGTCTGATCTGGCCCTGGTGGCCTTCTGATCTTAGATGCTTTCCTGGGTTATTACTTGCCCTTTTTGTTCACTGATGCTCTTCCTACTGTGCCTCTTCCCTACAGGACAAGCTCAGCGTCAGACAAATGAGCAGTTTCCTGGTTTTGCTCCAATTGCACAAGACTTTGACCCGCCTAGCAATTTTACTCTCTGGTGAGACCAGTCAGAAGGAACGTTTCGGCTCTGAAGAGGAGACTGACTGCAGTATGTGAGTGTCTGGGTTTCTAGTAATAGAAAAGATCCACAGGGGGTTATGTTGGAGAGTCTGAAGCCTGTGAGTATGTCTGTGTGTGCTGGAGGTCAGGGGTACTGGGTGTGGGCAGAGGGGATGATCTCTAGCACCAAAAATGCTCAGTTTTTAGCTCTTCCTGTTATCTCTGCATTTACTGTCTGTCACCAGACTTCATGCCTCAGTTCAAATGAGCCCAGATGTGAGATGAGCGAAGGCCCAGATAAGGCACCACAGAGCATGGGATTAGGAGGGTAGTGGAGATCTTTCTGGCCAGAATCGAGAAATCCTGATTGAAATAATCATTTGAAACCCTTCAGAGGTTCCACCTTAGGGACTTCTTTTACTGGGGGAGGGGGGGAGTATAGAATGCTTTCCAGAGAGAGAACATAAAGAGCACAGGCATTTTATTTTATTTACAGAACAGATGCTAGGGACACAGCAAGTTTTCTTTCTTTCTTTCTTTTGGTCTCAATAATTTTTAATTTTATAAGCAAGACTTGTAAAAGATATAATTAAAAAACAATATGGAGATATAAAAAGCTAAAATATATAATACTGATGTTAAGTAACATTGCCTACAGCTTCAGAAGATATATTAACATGCTCTAATTTATGTGACTCTAATGTAATTATAGATTTAATGGTATCTCTTGCATATATAATTCATCTTAATGTATTCACACCAGTGTGGTCATTCTAAGAAATTAATAACCTCTATTGTAAGATTTTGTTGTTGTTGTTGTTAATAGTGAAACACCATGAGGTACAGTTGTAGACTTACAAACTTTTGTCCTTGGGTTTCATTTATACAATGATCGAGTACTCATCCCTCCACCAATGTGAATTCTCCACCACCAATGATCTTAGTAGCCCTCCCATGCCCACACCCCATCCCCCCACCCTACCCGCCTATGTGTCAGGGCATTCCCTTTTGCTCACTCTTTCTTTTAGGGTGTTGTAGTTTGCAATAGAGGTTTTGAGTGACCATCGCGTTCAGTCTATAGTTTACTTTCAGCATGCATCTTGCATCCTGAGCGAGTCCTCCAAACATCCTATACTTGGTGTTCCCTTCTCTATCTGAGCTGCCTTTCCCCCCAGAATATGAGATCTGCTTCCAAGTCCTGGATCAGACTCCTGGTCATGGTCACGGTCACGGTCCTCCCGTTGTTCATCGATTTTCTCGAACAGGCCCAGTAACGCCTGCATTGTGAGACTTTGTTGTTACTGTGTTTGGCATATCGAATACATCTCGGCAGCTTGCTGGGCTCTCCGAGAGGGGCAGAGGAATCGAACTCGGGTCGGCCATGTTGGCTGAGTGCAAGGCAAACGCCCTACCCACTGTGCTATCGCTCTAGACTCCTGGTACTTATCTCAATTATTCTTGGGTGTTTAACTCCCAGTCTGTTACTTTCTATTCCCCAGCTGAGTGCAGTCTTTCTATGTCTGTCCCTCTCTTTCTGACTCATTTCACTTAGCATGATTCTTTCCATGTAGAACCACTTGTATGTAAATTTCATGACTTCATCTTTTCTAACAGCTGCATATTGTTCCATTGTGTAGATGTACCAAAGTTTCTTTAACCAGTCATCTGTTCTCCTGCACTTGTTTTTTTCCAAATGTTGGCTATTGTGAACAGTGCAGCAATGAATATAGAAGTGCAAATGTCATTTCTACTGTACTTTTTTTTTTTGCCTTTACAGGATATTTTCCCAGGAATGGTATTGCTGGGTCAAATGAGAGTCAATTTCTAATTTTTTGAGAATTGTCCATACTGTTTTCCAAAAGGGCTGAACTAGTCAGCATTCCCACCAGCAGTGAACGAGGGTGCCTTTCTCGCCACATCCACGTCAACACCGGTTGCTTTTGTTCTTTTGGCTGTGGGCCAGTCTACGTGGTGCGAGATGATATCTCATTATTGTTTTGATCTGCATCCCCCTGATGATTAGTGATGTAGAGTATTTTCTCATGTGTCTTTTTACCATTTGGATTTCTTCTTTGAGAAAGTTTCTGTTCATTTCATTGCCCCATTTTTTGATGGGTTGGATATTTTCTTCTTGTGGAGTTCAACCAGTACTTTGGTATCCTTTTTATCAACCCCTTGTTGGATGGGTATTAGGTGAATATCCTTTCCCATTCTGTAGACTGTCTTTGTATTTTGGTCACTGTTTCTTTTGAGGTACAGAAGCTTCTTAGTTTAAGATAGTCCCATTTGTTTATCTCGACACAGAGTTTTCTGAACCTTTACTTGTTTATTCTTTCTTTTTCAAAAATATATACTGTAGCACTGTCCTCCTTATTTTAAATTTTAAATTTTATTTTATTTTTATAAAGTTGTTCATGGTCACGGTCCTCCTGTTGTTCATCGATTTGCTCGAGCGGACCCAGTAACGTTTCCATCATGATACTTTGTTGTTACTGTGTTTGGCATATCAAATATGTCATGGGTAGTTTGCCAGGCTCTCCGAGAGGGGTGGAGGAATCTAACTCAGGTCGGCCATGTTGGCTGCGTGCAAAGCAAATGCCCTACCCACTGTGCTATTGCTCCAGCCCATAAAGTTGTTAACAATAATTTATTGCATTCAATATTCCAACACCAATCTCATCACCATTACATCTTCACACCTCTTGTTGTTTCTTTCATTGTGGTAAATGAGAGCTAGTTACACCAGGTCAGGGATATCCCTGTGAGGAAGGTGGATAAGGAGATATGGGCAGATTCACAATTTCCTTCCCAGTTTAACTAGACTCTGTACACACAGTAGTTTCAGTTGCATTATCATTGCTTCCTGTCTAGGACCAGGAAGTGAAGGAGTTGGGAGATAGTCTGCAAATGTGTGAAAGTCTTCTCTGTGCTAAGGTAAGATCCAGAGTTTCATTCTGGAACCTGAGATGCTGGAGTAAGTATAAGTATGTTGCGTGTGTGTGTGTGTGTGTGTGTGTGTGTGTGTGTGTAAGTAGTCATGACTTTGCTTCCTAGTGCATATCCTCTGTCTGTTTTCACTCTGAGCCTCAGCTTAGGAAATTCAGGATGTGAGGTGACTGAAGGACATGAACAGACTTTCTGGGGGATATCTACCCAAGAACACAGACTCTTAGCAAGAGAAACAGAAGGCTCTAGAAAAGTTTCTCTCTATGACTCTGGAAGCTTCTCTATGATTCATCTTGTGAAAGAGAAAGAGTTTAGAGTTTCATGTGAGAAGGAAAGAGCTCTATAATTATAGTTGAGTCCCTCATTTGATTCACAGTACTGTGAGTACAAACTCACGTTCTAAAATACACCCACCCCACTGCCCTCTTCACAAACTCCCAGAACTGGGAAATGGGGTACAGCTTCAGGTTCAGGAACAACTTCAGTGGGAGGGAGGAGGGCTGACCCTTGTGCTCCAGGTTCCTGTCCCCTGTCTCTGGCTGTCAGGGCCTCAAGGACTGTGCACCAGTTTCTTAAGTCCAGAATCCTTCAGAGTCTAGGCATTCTTGTCTCCCTACCACTACTCCATTTCTGGATTTTGTAAACTTCTTCATTTTCAGTCACCCTGAGCTGCTTCTGGAAGACCTTCTTGACTTGGAGACAAGGACTCACCTCTCTGGATCTCCAGGAACTCAGCTCTCAAGACTAACCCACTTTTCCCCAGTCTTTCCAATGAACTCCCTTACCCTCAGGTCTAAGGGGACTTAAGAACAAATTCACTGCTTCTTCTAGTGGTCTTGTGAACTTTATTACCATAGAGGTACATAGAGACTTTTAATCTGATATCATTTGTTCTTTTGGGTGGATGTGGGTGTAGAAACATCTAGTGGTGAGAGGTGCAGTAAAGTCAAAAGTAATTAACTGTCTCATGGAATCTTTCATAGAGCACCACTTAGGGGACCAATTATTCTTGATGCCTGCTAGCAGGGTTAGGAGCTCCATATTCTCTTACTGAATTCTCACTGTTACTGCAAACATTGTGAGGAATCCTATCAGCCTTCTCCATCTTTCTTAGTTTTGGTTCAAGAAACTGTTGTATAGGCCAGAGCAATAGTACAGAGGGTAGGGCATTTGTCTTGCTTGTGGCCAACTTGGGTTTGATTCCCAGCATCTGATATGGTCCCCTGAACATCACCAGGAGTAATTCTTGAGTACAGATCCAGGAGTAACCCCTGAGCATCACTGGGTGTGAGCCAAAAAGATGAAAGAAAGAAAGAAAGAAAGAAAGAAAGAAAGAAAGAAAGAAAGAAAGAAAGGAAGAAAGACTTGTCAATGATGGGCTGTTCTATATCTTAGCTATTATGCAGCAATAAATAAATAAATATAAAAACAACATTTAAGCAATTGAAATGTTGCTAGTGGGGGCTGGAGAAATATCTCAATGGTCTGAGCACAGAATTTGCAGGCAGAAGGCCTGGTTTACCCTGCATTACTTAATGGTTCCAAGAGCATGGTGGAATGTGACCCCTGAGTGACGCTGGTTGCCCCTTCCTGAGCCAAAATAAATAAAATGTCACTAGTGCTTTGAGAAACTGTCATTTTTATTGGATTTATTTGACTTATTTAAATCCAGGAGTCACAGTATCATATTGACTACCATATATAAGGACATAACTATGCACTATGTACTTTTCTCAATTTTAACCTCTTTATTTCCAATAGAGAGGAGATTAAAATACCTATGGGGGCACATAGGATCAAATGATGAAATTCCTCATACTGAAAATTTCTGGCTGCTACATCTCTGCTTCTCAAGTCAGTTTTGGAGGATTTTAGAGAAAGTCATGGCCTCAGGCACAAGTGCCAAGAAGCTGAGGGAAGAATCCACATGCTCTATCTGCCTGGAGCTGATGACTGAGCCCGTGAGCATTGACTGCGGGCACAGCTTCTGCTTTGTGTGCCTAGTGGACCTCATTGAAAGCCAAAGTTTTGGGACACCAATTCACTGTCCCCTCTGCCGGACGCCATTTGAAAGGGGGAACTACCGACCCAATAAGCACCTGAAAAACCTCATTGAAACCATCAAGGAGATAGAATGTGAGAGGACATGTGAGGAACACGGACAGCAGCTCCACCTGTTCTGCGAAGATGATGACCAGCTCATCTGCTGGCGCTGTGAATGGTCACCACAGCACAGAGGACACACCATAGCTCTTCTGGAAGATGTGTGCCAAGGATACCAGGTGAATGGATGATCCTCAGGGCTCACAAGAACCTGTTCTTATATTATTGTATGATATTAAGATTATTTAACTGGAAATCTTAAAACAGAGCTTTCCCCATGTCATTCTCTAAGAATGGTTAATGAGTAACCACCACTGAATCAGTCCTGACAGCCCATTGTCAGCACGGCAGGTGGTTAAACTTGTCTCTAACCACCCATGTGCACCAGATCACTCCTGCATGTTTACTTCTTCCGAATTTCTCTGTAATTTGTAAACCTTAGAAGCAAGACTATGTGGTAAAATCCAGGGGACAAAGGCACACCTTCTTTTTCTTTGGCACACCTTTTTTTAGATCTTTATAACTTACAACTTTTATTTTTTTTGTGTGTGTGTGTGTGTTGATATGTTTATTTTTTTATTTTTTTTATTAGTGAAGCACCATGAGGTACAGTTGTAGATTTACAAATCTTTGTGCTTGGGTTTCGGTCATACAATGATCAAATACCCATCCCTCCACCAGTGCCCATTTCCCCCCACACCCCCTCCCAACCTGCCTCTGTGGCAGGGCATTCCCCTTTGTTCTCTCTCTCCTTTTGGGTGTTGTGGTCTGCAAAAGAGGCATTGAGTGGCAATCATGTTCAGTCCATAGTCTACTTTCAACATGCATTTCCCCTCCTGGGAGGATCATCCAAACACCCTTTATTTGGTGCTCCCTTCTCTATCTGAACTGCCCTTTCTCCTAGAATACCCGGCTGGCCTCTAAGCTATGGAGTAATCCTCCTGGTGTTGATCTCAGCTATTCTTAGGTATTGATCTCATATTTTGTTGCTTTATATCCCCCAGATGAATGCAATCTTTTTATGTCTATCCCTCTCTTTCTGACTCATTTCGCTTAGCATGATAGTTTCCATATTGTACCACTTGTATGTAAATTTCATGACTTCATCTTTTCTAAGAGCTACATAGTACTCCATTGTGTAGATGTACCAAAGTTTCTTTAACCAGTCATCTGTTCTTGGGCACTCAGGTTTCTTCCAGTTTCTGGCTATTGTAAAGAGTGCTGCAATATAACTTACAACTTTTATAACTAAGTTGTGAGGCCAAGAAAGAACCTCATAGGTGCTGTGACAGTCCGCACTTCAGCAAAACAAGCAGTAGGCCTGAGTTTCTGTTTCCCTTTCCCCCGTCTTCCCAAAGAATTCCTGGAGACTGTCATTGGCCGAAACTGGAAATTCCCTAGATATCTCTAGCCAGTCCTATGATAAGTAGGATATCTCTGGGCACAGCAGGTGTGCGTGACCAATTAGCTCACAGATTTGTGACTGCTTCACAGCAATTCTTTTTTTTTTTTTTGCGGGGGGTTGGGTGTCACACCGGGCAATGTACAGAGGTTACTTTTGGCTTGTGCACTCAGGAATCACTCCTGGCAGTGCTTGTGGGATCATATGAGATGCTAAAAATTGAACCCAAGTCTACCGCGTGCAATGCAAAAACTCTGCCCACTGTGCTATCACTCTAGCCGTTTCTAAGCATTTCTTGGGAAAACTGCCAATGTTGCTTATGTAACAATATGCCATATAATGTCCCCTGGAACTTGGGTCAGGATCCTTGTCAAGACTCCACTGTGTTGGATGAGACTCGGACCCTAGCTCGAGCTAACAATAAAGGGACTTTGTATTGGCATCCTCAAGTCTGGTCTGGTCAATGTGTGTGCGAAACTCCCTTCCTGGGACAGAACAAAGTATGGCAAATAAAGACTAGCTAGACACCTGGGAATGATGATAGGAGTGAATATTTGGGGGTTAGAACAATATCCAGGTGGTTTCCAGAGGTAAATCTTGAAGGACACATGAAAATTACCATATATAAAATCATGAGGAAAGTTTTTTCACAAAATGCATTGTTTCCTTGACAATATTGTAATGTTGATGTAGCTCAAACTCTGGGTGTCCAGCTGAGCTGGGGCTCACAAATCACCCACCAAGCTCTTATGCACCATGGAGATTACTAGGCACCTTCATAAGCCTCAATTTCTCCATCACTGGGACAATGTTAAAATTTTACAAACTGCTCAGAATTACCAAGGAGATCAAATGTTAGTGCTCTCAACTTATGAGGAATCAACAAATATTCTTGGTTATTCTAAGATTTGAAAATCTGGGATTTTTATTTAGCCTTCTTAAGTTTCCAGTCAACTATTGTCAAATCAAGTATCCTTACACTCTTTTCTTCAGGAAAAGCTTCAGGAAACTGTGACAACTTTACAGACACTGAAAAAGCAGTGTGAGAGTCTGAAGGTGTTCACACAAAAGCAAATAACCGAATGGGAGGTAATAATTGAATGGATTTTCCTCTAATTCTTTTTCATTGTAACATGAAGAAAACAGGTTGGTTGGCAAAATGTATGATGACTTATTCTTAATAAGACAGATCATTTATTTGATACCATAAAAAGACACATTTGCCCCCTACTGGTGTCTCAATAAGATCTTTTTCTCCAATGCTTCAATAACTGCCATGATTATGATTAGCAATTCCTCAGTCTCAGAAGCAAAGTTGGTTTGCCTTATTACCTTGAACCACTTTTCCCTGGGTTTCAAACTTAAATATATCAAGGTTTAAATACTTCAGATAATTCAAATTTAAATAATTTGTTTGAAGGTGTCAACCTTATTATATTTGTGCATTTGCTCTAAAAAGGATCTGCACTAGATATTATAAATACATATAGTATATAATAATGTATTTATAAATACACTATAAATATAATTCTGTGCATTTAGCATTTTTATATTGTTGTGCAGCTACTACTAGTGTTCATCCCTGGAAATTCTCATCAGTCTAAACTGGGAATCCTTATCCATAATTCCCCACTCTTCCTTGGCTTCCTAGCACCAGGAACCACAATTTTACATTATGTTTCTGATATGACTAGGTACTTCTCAAAGGTTGACTCACATAGTATTTCTTCTTCCATGTCTGGCTTACTGGCAAGATATTGTCACGAGCATGATATTATTGAGTTGCATTCATATTGCAGCATCATCAGAATATGTTTCATTTTAACACTGAGCTGAGTAGTTTGCTATTGTATATGTGTAATTTATTATGTTTAATTGATTTATCCCTCTATGAACATTCAGTTTGCTATCACTTTTTTTTTGCTTTTTGGGTCACACCCGGTGATGCTCAGGGGTTACTCCTGGATCATGCACTCAGGAATCACTCCTGGTGGTGCTCGGGGGACCATATGGGATGCTGGGAATCAAACCTGTGTCAGGTCAGTCATGTTGGCTGTGTGCAAGACAAACGCCCTACCGGCTGCGCTATTGCTCCAGCCCCCAGCTATCACTTTTAATAAAGCTCAATTTCTTGATTCTAGGAGAAAGTGGAGCTTCAAAAAAGAACAATCAGATCTGACTTTAACAATCTTCATGCTTTCCTGTTTGAAGAGGAGAAGTATTATTTTTGGAAATTGCAGAAAGAAAAAGAAGACACTTTGAGTAGTCTGCAGCAAAGTAAAGACAAACTGGAGAGGCAGAGTCAGGAACTCGGCAACTGCATCCTGGAACTACAGAAGAAATGTCAGGGCTCATCTCAGGATTTGTTACAGGTAAGTCTGTGCACTTGGAGAATAGGAAAACGTTGCCTTTCTTGATAGCTCAGGAGAAGCACCTTTGTAGAATGGTGAATAAGAACAAACACTTATTCACTGAGGAAAGTCATGAGTACATTCCTCAATTTCTTTACCAAGTAGCCAGCAAGCAAATTCAATTATTGCAGATACCACAGTTACCCATAGGTTTCAGCAAGAAAAATAATAGACTCAGTGTGTGATAAACATGCCACCATGCTGAATATCTTAGGGGCTGGCATGAAAATAATGTTATCCTGCAATCCATAAATATCTAAGGCTAGTGTCATTCTCTTAATGGGCAGTGTTTTAAAAATAACACAGAAACTTTTTTAAGGTCTGAAGAGGTTTTTGTTTTATCTTTTTTGTATAGTGAGTAGGCATTTGCCTTGTACACAGTCAACCTGGATTTGATCCCCGGCATCCTATATGATCCTCTGAGTACTATCAGGAATAATTTCTGATTTCAGAGCTATGAGTAACTCCTGAGCATCACTGGGTGTACCAAAAACTAAACATCTTTTTTTAACTGTAGGCACTTATTTACACAGATTTACAATACTGTTGATAGTATGATTTCACACATGCAATATTCTAATAGCACATCCTTCACTAGACTGTCCCCCACTACCACTTAGGCTTTCCAAATTTCCCCACCATGGTTACTTCACGTCTATAGACCAGTTCTCAGATTCTGTTGCCTCCATCTACTCTGTTCCTTTTGTTCCTTTATATCTCACATGAGAGAATTATTTTGTTATTTGTCTCTCTCTCTCCATAAATTTCATTCATGATAATGCTTTCTAGATCCATCCATGTAGCAGCAAATTGCATGGTTTCATCTCTTCTTGAAGCCAAATAGTATTTTATTGTGCAGATATACCATAGTTGATTTTTCCAGTCATTTGTTCTTGGACTCTTCTGTTGTTCTCAGATTTGAGCTTCTGTAAAAGGTGCTGCAATGAACATAGGAGTGCAAATGTCTTTTCTGAAAGGATTTTTGGGCCCTTGAGGTAGATTCCAAGAAGTGGAATTTCTCAATCATTTGAAAACACAATTTGTAATTTTTTGAGAATTGTTAACCCCATCTTCCAAAAGGATTGAGCCATTTGACATTCCCACCAACAGTGGACAAGGATTTCTTTAGGGAGGGGTGTTTGTAGAGAACAGCCCCTTGTGCCAATTAAATGCATCAGTGAAATACAGATGTTTTCACATTCTCATCTGGTTTTTGTTCCTCTACAGAATGTGAGAGCCACGTTGAGCAGGTAAGTGCTCTATGAAGTCTGGAGTGGGTCGCGCGGACATATCAAAGTGAATGAAATGTCCTATTTACAAAGTCTCTGGCCTCTGCTTATTCTAGGAGTTTGAGTATGAAGCTGGAATTACCAGAACCTGTTTCTTTGGATGTTCATACTGTGTGTGATGTTTCTGAACTTTACTTTGATGTGAAGGAAATGTCAAAAAGTTATCGGGGTATGTGAAACTAATGTTCGCACGCTGTAAGGATGGATGGTGTGTCAGGGTAACCAAATTCATACCCTCTCTTGGTAGGTTCATGTCCAAGAGTTCTTCAGTCATGTCATGGTACTTTTATAGTCTCCCATGTCTGTGTGCTCTACTGCTTAAGTGGGGATATGGCATTAGATGGGTCATCAGTTCAGACTCTCTACCTCTGTGTCATCAGCTGTTCCACCTCAGGCAAATGTCCACCAGCTCAGTTTTTATATTTTAAGATTGAAACTTTCTCACTTTTGTGAGGTTATCATGAAAATTAAATGCATCAGTGTGCGTAGAGTGTAGGTGGGTCTGGGACATATGCTTGTTCTTTGTGATTCAGTCAGCTCTCAGAGAAATATTCCATAAATATTAGAGACTGAGGTATAAATCATTGTAAGTACTGGATCAAGGTAACATAGTCAAGGTTAAGATAAAAATGAAAATTAAGTTTTACCCATTGTAAATTCTGGGCTTCTTCTACCTTATGTTTCTACCTTACTGAGTTCTTACTTAGTACTTTCCATATTGTCACAAATCTTATTTACATTTATAAAATTTGAATAGCTCTAAATATTGAATTTTTTTTACCTCACTTGACTGTAAAATCAGATCTAGCCAGAAATGATTTGGTGTCAGGAATAATTATTCCTTCAAAACTACATGGCAGCTTCAATCAATATACATAGTAACAGGGTTTTATGTGTCAAGTACCTGGTTATGGTCCTGGATTCTGGGCTTAGGTGGTCAGAAATCTGTAACCAGGGAACTGAGAAACAGTATAGGTGTACAGACAAATCCCGCCCCTGCAGACCCCCAAATGAAGAAATCTCCCATTGAAGTATTGTCTCTGTCTTGCCCTGGCCAAAGCCCCTGGCTCATAAGTCACACTTATTTTTTACTCGTGGTGCTCACAGACAGTGGGCCGCCATGCTGTGGAAATCTCTCTGAAACCAGGGACCACAGACAGCAGGGTTTCCAGGATCATATGCTGTGCTGGAGACCAAACTCACAACCTCAGAACTGTAATGTCAATGCTTTAACCATTAAACCATCTCTCAGTCCCCATTCACTTTATTTTTATTTATTTGTGAAAATTTGTATTGAACACTGTGATTTATGATACTGTTAATGATGGTTTCATGCAGATATCATTCTAATCATACCCACCACCAGAGTATCCTCTTCTTCCCACCAAGTTTCCAAAAGTCCATCCTATTCAACAGCACCTTCTCCCCAAGCTCAGTTCTGGGGACCAACACTCCATTTCTGTTGATTTTGGCTGTTTGTTGCTTCCTTACTGTGTATGTTTAAATTCCACATATGAGAGATGATTCTGTATCTATCCCTTTCCTTCTGACTTTACCTTCAGCATGATCCCCTGCAGTTCCACCCATGTCATGGCAAATTGTTTCTTTAAAAAAAAAAAAACAGGCACAGACAATAACTCACTCAGCTAATAAGAAAGAAAGTGTGTATTTGAACATCGGCTGTTTTTTATTTCAAATAAACTGTATGCTCAAACCAAACCTGACTTCTTTATATATTTGTTTTGCTGGGTAATCGCATGACTGAGGCCAGGTGAAGCTCACAAGAGTTCATTCTTTCTGAGAATGAGAGACAAGTGGCTCAGGCATGCCCCAGAAGACAGTGATTGCCCTTAGGAGGTTTAGAGCCATTCCTGCTACCCTGGATAATGAGGATTTTAGAAAGATGTCCTCGTCTTTAAAGTAGATGTGGGAAAGAAACTGCATGTAAGTGAGGAGTTTGTCTGGAAAAAGTGGCCAATGAAATTGCTATCATCAGGCCGCAGGCCCGGTCTGGATTCTGGGCCATTAGACTGTGTAAATAGAATGGCTTTGAAGTCTCTGCTTTGGGACCTTGACTTCTCTTATTCCGAGGGAATAAATCCAGATTGTAGGATATTTTTCCTAACTCTGAGACCAGACTCGTGTTCTTTTGCAACAGGAACACTAGCTTCTATACCCACATCTTCACCTTCTTCTCTGAGACTCTTAGGCCCTCTTTTAAGGCTTACCAATATTCTCTTTTGTGCCAGTTTTCATCAAATAAGGAAGGAGAAATCTCTTGGATGACCCAGATTGAGACAATACTTTTTATCCTGTCAAGACAGAAATTTGATCTGTTAGCTTCTCTGCTATTCCTCAGTTCCTAGAATAATGCTGAGCTTTTAGAGACACTTAGTAAATTTGCATGGGATGAATGGACATGAAAACTCTAAAATCTACAGAGTTGATGAGCATGAGCTCTGGGAAAACAACCAATAGCAAAGATCATTCATTGTACTTTGCTTTCCTCTTTCGCTTCACAGCTCTGATTTCATAACTCCCTGACTGACCACTGGGTTGACCTTGGGTCAAGAGGTCATATTGTTTGTTTGATACCATTTGAACTCATGTGGCATTGAAAGAAATCTGTGATTGTCTAAATCACCTGCTAAAGAGTAGGAACATTTAAATTACAATGACTCTTCTGACCACTGACCTTTATTAATAATCTGAGCTAGAGACCTGGATGACATGTAAGTGTTGAGAATCACCAGCACTAGTGCATCCTACTTGGGCAGTAACTGTAAATTTTGAGAGAAGAATTTAAGTATCTCACAGTAAGAGACTTCAAATGAGGAGAGAGAGGGTGCAGATGAAGTATAAAATAAATTTTTCTGGGAACCTCAAGACTGGAATAGAAGATATTTTCTGAGCTGTTCTAGCACCACCAACCTGTAAATATTACAAATAAATAGTTATTGTTTTTGTATTTTTGGTAATATTTGGTACTATTCATATAGGATCAAATAGTTCTGAACTATATCCAGGTGTTTTTGTGTGTGTGTGTGTGTGTGTTTGTGTGTGTGTGTGTGTGTGTGTGTGTGTGTGTGTATTCATGTCAAATCTAATTTTTCTTCCTGAAGTCAGCTAAGGATAGCACCAGGATGAAATCTATCAAAACTCAAACACAAATATTGCCAAAAACAAATGTACCAAATTGATGGTGTCCTGTTAATTACCCCTTATATAGATATCTATATATGCTGCCTCTGAAATCTTCTGATATTATGTCTCCAGTATAGGAGAAATGAAGCAAATAAAGTTGTCTTGAGTGCTGAAGACATGGTTGGGTGTTCATTTCTTCCAGGGGAAAGTCATAGATGAACTCCTAGCATCAGAAACTCATCTGACAGAGGCTGGGCTGTACCTTAAAAGGGAGCACCAAATAAAGGGTGTTGGGAGGATCCTCCCAGGATGGGAGAAGCATGCTGAAAATAGACTATAGACCAAACATGATTGCTACTCAATGCCTCTTTTGCAAACTAGAACACCTAAATGGAGAGAGAGAACAAAAGGGAATGCCCTGCCACAGAAGCAGGGTGGGATGGGGTGGGATGGGGGTTGGGAGGGATACTGGGATCCATGGTGGTGGGAAATGGGCACTGGTGGAGGGATGGGTATTTGATCATTGTATAATTGAAACCCAAGCACAAAATTTGTAAGTCTACAACTGTACCTCATGGTGTCTCACTAATAAAAATGAAAAGAAAAATAAAAAAAAAAGTAAGTTGCAGGGGAGCGGTGCCGCCAGCTGGAGGGTGAGTACATCAACAGCCTGATGGTGACTTCAGGCTTCTTGATACTCCAAAATTTCTGCTGTGTATCTGGCTGGACCCCAACAACTCAGGACCAAGTTTCCCAAGAAATCAATGAGCCAAAAATTAGATATAAATGGGAGCCACACCTACAAACCATCTCTGGCTCAGCTATACAAGCGTATTTATTGACCATTTCATATCAGAGACTCACAAATCTCAAAAAATATCAAAAACCACAGTTAATCTTGGACCATGCAAGACTGAGCAGACCAGGGTAAATCAGAGTGGAGTGGGTCAGCTTGGTACCTGCCCACACAGAGCTCCTGGCAGCCACTTGCTCTCACAATCAAAACTTGCCACTATGTCCCCAGCTGGACTCCACCCTCTCAGAGCGGACCTCACTGAGGTATTAACCTATTGAAAATTCAGATATGTGGGTTTTGTGACTGAAATCTCCAGGTTTTCTTGGAGTTGGGATGAACTGTCACTCTGACATGCTGGGGTCATAAGACCAGCCAGGGAGTCGGCTGTGGCAGCCCACCTCACTCCACCCATTGTGCACCGTAGAGGCAAGGGGGACAGAGCTTGGAGGGAGAGTGAGCACACAGAATCACAAGAAGAGACACACACTCTATGAGCCTCTGCAGGGAGAAGACTAATTTTACTACATGCAGGGTCAGGTTCATATACCTCAAGAAACAGGGAACAAATTTTTGTGGGGGTATCTGGGACACACTGCACAAAGGCTTAGTAGGACATTTGTTATTCCTTCTTGGTTGGGGCTCTGCTTACTCACTCATTCCCTGGCTCCACCAAGGTTCTGAAGGGGTAAAGGGAAGGGAGAGTAGTTACTGCTGGGAAATCAAAAGAGGAAGCTATGGGGAAGGGGCCGCCAACCACTCATCCAGTTTGGGCCAAGTCTTGGGGACTCCATCCTCACACCTAGTTGCCCCCCAATTGTACCTTGTAATGTCCCACAGTGGGCTACCCCCCCCCCCTTCCCTATACTCCTGATAGTACCACACTCACACCATAAACCAACTTCAGCACCACCATTTATGTTCTACTGGCCTTGCTTCAGAGACTCATAAATAAATCTCAAGAGATCAAAGGCCACAGTTAAGCTTCTTATCATTGCAAACAGGTCAGGGAATGCAAAGAGCAACTCCAGCCTAATTCCAGAGAGTCCCAGGGGAGCTAAATGCAAAGATTCACCCACAGCAGAGCAGGAGCACAGCAAACCCAGTGGGGAAAGATGCTTTGAAGCCCACCAACCTCAATGAGGGGAAAGACGGAGGTCCTTGCTCCAAGATAAGATGGAGAGAAATTCTGGAAAACAATGGAAGGTGGGAAAAAGTCTGAAACAAATAAGCAAACAAACAATATAGTGTAGAACTATGGGAAGAGAATAAGAGAACAACAATAAAACTAACTGTAGAGGAACACCAGGGTAGACAATAGCAGCTCATGCAGAAATTCTATGTTCAGATTAATAAGCGCAAGATAATAAGTTCTAACAGGATTGGTCATACACTTTTTTTTTTGCTTTTTGGGTCACACCTGGCGATGCACAGTAGTTACTTCTGGTTCATGTACTCAGGAATCATTCCTGGCGGTGCTCCAGGGACCATATGGGATGCTGGGAATCAAACCTGGGCCGACCTCATGCAAGGCAAACACCCTACCTGCTGTGCTATTGCTCCAGCTCCTGGTCTTGCACTTTGTACCTCCAGGAGGCAGTACATAAACTTGGCCAACTCACTCTTGCCTAAATTCAGGGTAGGGTTTATCAAATCTTCCTTGGAGTATATTACAGGTACCACACCAAGCACATACCCACTGTGGGAGACCTATAACACCAGTTCGCAGAACTGATGGGTGACAGAGTTAAGATGTTACAGTTAAGCATGAAAACAAAATAAAGGGAATTCCTGGTGCCTTCTCCATCATTTTCTATGCCTTCACTCTGCAGGCACAGTTAATGTCAGAGTGATGCAGTAGAGAACCATGTTGGGCCAAGTCAGGGCACAGCAAAACTGACAGTGAGAGAAATGATGAGGGCAGGGAGATGGACAGAAATGGAAGGAGTCTGAGCCAGCAAGGCCATGTTCTCAAGTCAAATCCCAACTCCACCATCATCAGGACATTCTGGCCACACATACTTGACCTTTTTGCACTAATAGCATTTCTTCCTTCCCACCAATCCCAGGAGGGTGCAGAACTGAGACATTAATCCTTGGGTAGGGAGAGAAGCTCCTGTTTCCTAATTTTGACTGTACCCAGAGTTGGTGGGTGAGCAGGACTGTGACTGGTCTGTGCCCCTATCCTCTCTCTGCAGGTCTGGTGCCCTAGACAGAACCCACCCCCCCAGCTCTCAGGTCAGCAGCTGCCAGCTGGCAGCACCCAGATTCCTTGCAGGGTCTGTCAGGACTCCAGTGGAATGTGTGGCTCTTCCTCAAGTTTTCTGCACTGGATACTTTGCATTTCTGGTATACTTGCTTTCAAGGTCTTTTCTCATGAAGCTATTACTATGACTAGGTTTTATTTTCAGCAAGTGTGTGAATTTTTCCATTTGACTGGCTGGAGCGATAGCACAGCAGGTAGGGCGTTTACCTTGCATGCAGCAGACCCTGGTTCAATTCTTTCGTCCCTTGCTGGGTAAAGAGCCCAGCAAGCTACCGAGAGTATCCCACCTGCATGGCAGAGCCTGACAAGCTCTCCGTATCATATTCGATATGCCAAAGACAGTAACAACAAGTCTTACAATGGAGACATTACTGGCCCCCGCTTGTGCAACTCGCTGAACATCGGGAGGGCAGTGCAATTGGCTTAATGAGTGCTTTTATTTATGATCAGGAATGGCAAACCACTGGGTACCCCATGCCTGACCACTGCCTACCTCCACAGCTCAGAGTGATGGTTCTCCAGAGTACACTTCTATCTGGGCCATTCGCAGTTCCTGGACTCTCCTGGGCACAGAGCCTGCTATTCCTAAGTGCTGAGTCCTGCGGAGGGACAGTGAGGATGAAGACAGAGCAGAGACAGGATGGGGGCTGGTGTGGGTCTATGTCTGATGCCCAGGAGCTCTGCCACTGGAACCAATTTTCCCACCCCTCCTGGGACATTTAAATGCAACAAGGAACCCAGAAATGATGTAAAAAGTGGATCATAAATCTCTTGAATTCCCAAGGGGCTTGGTAAAAGCTCTAAAAAGATTTCAAGACAGACTGTGAACTGACTGGCTCTTGGTGGCCTCCTGATTTTAGACAGTTTCCTGGGTTATTGTATTTTTTTTTCTTTATTGTTTCTCAGACGGTGTCTCCAGACTTCCCCTTCAGAATATGCCTGGTGCCAAACGTGAGTGACTTCACAGACTTCCTCCAATCAAACAGCACACTCAACACTGTAGTAGTTTCACTTCAGAGTTCCATCCAGCCCGAGGGAACTTCCTTGTCTAAGGAGCTGCTACTACAAAGAAGATTGCCAACAAAACGTGAGTCTCAGTGTGTTTCTAGTAAATCAGGTGGGGAACTCTTGGGGGAAGAGTCTGATGCCTGAGATTATGTCTCTGTATGTACTGGAGGGTAGGGTCTGGGGAGTGGCAGGTTCTAAATTTCCAACATTAGAAATTCTTAGTAGTTTTTGAGGGCTAGAAGGATCATACAGCAGGAAAGGCAACCTGCCTTGCACAAGGCTGACCTGGACTTGATCCCTGACACTTAGTGTGGTTCCGAAGCCCTCCAGGAGTGATCCTTGTGCACAGAGGCAGGACTAAGCCCCAAAGGCATAGCCAGATGTGGCCCCCAAACAAAAGCAAACAAAAAAGAATTTCTCCTGGTTTTTTTTTTTTTGTGCGATACACAGGTCTTCTGGACTCTGCTCTCACAATAGTTTCACTTCGTTTTTTTTTTTTAAGTTTCATTTCTGAGTTGCAGACAATTGCACCATACTGCCTTGTGCAAGCCTCAGGAAATAACAACAAGGGTGGAGATTGTGCACAAATATGTGAGTGGCTTCTAGGCCGTGTGTGTCTGTGTGTGTGTGTGTGTGTGTGTGTGTGTGTGCGTGTGTGAGAGAGAAAGAGACAGAGAGAGAGACAGAGAGAAACAGAGAGACAGAGAGACAGAGAGAGACAGAGACAGAGAGAGAGAGGAAGGGATAGGGAGAGAGAGAGAGTTTATATGAGAGTTTATATATAAGGGAAACCTTCCTCACTCTGAAATATTCAGGACTTTTGTACTTCACCAACTGTCTGCCTCCCTCTCACCAGGCGTCATGCCTTCTCTCAGAAGTTACAGAACTGGGTTTGTGTGAAGGTCCTACTGCGGGACTCAGAGGAAAAAATGAACTTTTACCTGGGCTAGAGCGATAGCACAGCGGGTAGGGCGTTCGCCTTACAAGCGGCCAACATGGCCGACCCGAGTTCGATTCCTCCGCCCCTCTCGGAGAGCCCGGCAAGCTACCGAGAGTATTCGATATGCCAGACACAGTAACAACAAAGTCTCCAATGGAGACGTTACTGGGCCCGCTCGAGCAAATCGATGATCAACGGGAGGGCCTTTACCTTTTTACCTTTACCTGGAGCTTAGCACCCCTTTCACAGAGAAGCTAATGTGATGAGGAATAAAACTCAGATACTCTTGGTAGCTTGCCTGGCTCTCCAAGAGGGGTGGAGAAATCGAACTCAGGTTGGCCTGGTCTGCCACATGAAAGGCAAATGCCCTACCTGCTGTGCTATCGCTCCAGCCCAATTATACTATATTATAGCATTATAATATAGTTAGAAGATAGCATGCGATGCCTTCATTCTTTTTGTTTTTGTCTCAGTCTTAAGATTGAGTCATGATCTTTTGGGATTCCAAAAAGATGTTAGTAATATAGAATTAATTTTCTTGAAGAATGAATTTGGAATTTGTTAGGAATTACATTGTCTCTCTATGGGCTGGAGCAATAGCATAGCGGGTAGTGCATTTGCCTTGCACACGGCCGACCCAGGTTCGATTTCTTTATCCCTCTCGGAGAGCCCGGCAAGCTACCGAGAGTATTCCGCCTGCACGGCAGAGCCTGACAAGCTTCCCGTGGTGTATTTGATATGCCAAACACAGTAACAACAAGTCTCACAATGGAGACGGTACTGGTGCCCACTCTAGCAAATTGATTAACAAAGGGATGAGAGTGTTACAGTGCAGTACTTATTTCAGTGATGTCTTTAGGATATTTTTCTTTTTTAGGGAGCCATACCCAATTATGTTCTGGGTTTACTCCTGACTCTATGCTCTGGAATCACTCTTGGAAGGGCTGAGGGGATCACATGGGATGCCAAGGATCAAACCTGGGTCAACTGCATGCAAGGCAAGTGCCCTACCGGTTGTACTCCAGCCCTTATGTTTTTAGTATTTTCTATGAAAAGTTTTATATGCCAACATTGATAGATTAACTTATTTTAGAATTGAATCCATTTTCTTGACAAATTGCTGTGACTTTGACTTTCAAGACCACATTGGCTGTCAGGATTGAGAGTGGACATCTTTGTCTTATGCCCAATTGAGTGTAAAGTTTCACTGAGTATGTTGTTTTATCCATTTAGTATGTTGTTTGTTTCCTATGGCCTTTATCATACTGAGGCATGTTCCTTCTGTCCAAATTTTAGTGAGATTTTTAAAGATCATATACAGATGTTGGATCTTGTCAAAAGTTTCCTCAGTGTCAATTTATCTGATGATGATTTCTATCTTTCCTTTTGTTAGTGTGGTGGCACTGTGGCACTGTTCTCCCATTGTTCACTGTTTTGCTCGAGCGGGCACCAGTAACGTCTCCATTTTGAGACTTGTTACTGTTTTTGGCATATTGAATACCTCACGGGTAGCTTACCAGACTCTGTTGTACAGGCAGGATACTCTTGGTAGCTTGCCGGGCTCTCTAAGAGGGGCAGAGAAATTGAACCTGCGTCGGTTTTGTGCAAGGCAAACACCCTACCCACTGTGCTATCGCTCCAGTCCTGCAAATGTGGTAAATTACGTTAACTGATTTGAGTATGATGATCCTCCCTGGAATATATATATAAATTTATTCACTTAATCACTTAATCACTTAACTTCCCGTTAGTCGTCAATTTGCTCGAGCGGGCGCCAGTAACGTCTCCATTTGTTCCTGTTGCGTGCTAGTGTAGCCCAATGGCATCTGTTGGCTCTGGGAACATGAAGAGCCTCAAACCGATCGTTCATGATCTTCACAAAGAAGTCTGACCATCTGGTAGGTGGGCGGCCACGCGGTCTTTTGACATCCTGTGGAATCCAGTCAGTAACAGCTCTAGTCCAGCGGCTGTCTTTAAATCTCATTACGTGACCAGCCCATCTGATTTTTCACACCTTGGCAAATGAGACAGCGTCCCTGATTCTTGATCGTCGACGGATGTCGGAACTCTGAATTTATTCTCTCATTTGAGTGAAACGTGATATTCCAAGCATAGCTCTTTCTATTCTTCTTTGGGAGACCTGAATAGTGTTCTCATCCTGTTTGCGTAGGGCCCAGGTCTCTGAGGCATATGTTAATGCAGGAAGAACAGTGGAATCAAAGAGATGTGCCCAGAGCCGGAGGTTCTTCGTCCTCTTAGCTCTTAAATTTATACATAAATTTATTATTATGTATAACTTATTTATTATTATGTATAAAGGTAAAGGCCCTCCCGTTGATCGTCGATTTGCTCGAGCGGGCCCAGTAACGTCTCCATTGGAGACTTTGTTGTTACTGTGTCTGGCATATCGAATACATCACGGGGAGCTTGCCAGGCTCTGCCGTGCGGGCGAGATCCTCTCGGTAGCTTGCTGGGCTCTCCGAGAGGGGCGGAGGAATCGAACTCGGGTCGGCCATGTTGGCCGCTTGTAAGGCGAACGCCCTACCCGCTGTGCTATCGCTCCAGCCCTTTATTATTTATTACCTTTTTATTATGTATACATAAGTTTATTATTATGTATAACTCTTTTAATATATTACTGAACTCTGTTTGCTAAGATTTGGACTAAGATATTTTAATCTATGCTCATAGAGGACTCTGGTCTGTAGTTTTATTCTGTTTGCTTGTTTGTTAGTTTGATTCTTTGTCTTTGTTTTTTTTATTTTATTTTATTATTTTTTAGTTTATTTCTTTCTAATCTTTCTGCCTATCTTTGATATTAGGCAATGTTGCTCTAATAAAAATGCTTTAGGGAAAATCTCCTCCTCTTAAAAAATTTTTTTTGAGGAGGCAGATAATTGTGGCCACTCCCTGGCTACTCCTGACTCAAGAATCACTCCCGGCAGTGTTTAGGAAACCATATGGGAGACCAGGGATCAACTCCTGTTTGGCCAGGTAAAAGACAAGCCAAGAACTACCCAGGAATTACCACTCCATCCCTCTTTCCTTTTGTATTTTGTGTAATAACCAGGTATCAGATACTTCTTGCTAGTTTCTTCTAATTATTATTATTTGGAGGGCCGCATGTTCTCCTCAAATATCCTAAGTTTATGGCCTATTTTAAATTGAAAGTAAATCTGGGGCCTGTGAGATAGCTCACAGCTGGCATTCATTCCTGCCATACACAGGCTTTAAGTTTGATCTCTGGTAGCAATGTCTCCTGAGTAATATCCCCAGATGTAGTTTTGCAGGTCCCCAGAACCACAGGGCCTGAGAAAAACCCCATAATCAGATTTAACATTGAGTATTGAAAAAACACACCACCAGACTTAGCACTGAATAGTGAAAAAGCAATTCATCAGATTTAGCATTGGATGGTGAAAAACCACATCATCAGACTTAGAAGTGAGTGTTTAAAAAATACATCAGGGCTGGAGCGATAGCACAGGGGGTAGGGCATTTGTCTTGCGCGGTCGACCCAGGTTTGATTCCCAGCATCACATATAGTTCCCTTAGCACCTCCAGGAGTAATTTCTGAGTGCAGAGCCAGGAGTAACCCCAGGTGTGACCCCAAAATCAAAACAAACAATCAAAACAAAAAACAGAAAAAAAACAGACCACCAGACTTAGCATTGAATGGTGAAAAATCAAGTCTTTAGACTTAACACTGAATGGTGGAAAACCAAGTCATCAGACTTAGAATTGGATGGTGAAAAACCACATCACTGGATTTAGCATTGAATGGTCTGGCCTACTTGGTCAGGTATCACCTGGAGTGACCTTTGGCTCTTGAGCACTGCTACAAGTGCCTCCAACTCTCTGTAAAAGAAGGCAAGTAAACTATTGAATTTTATAGATATCCCCTGAGTATTTTTAAAGGATGGTTGATCAATGATAAACTTACATAGCTTTTATTTGAAAAGCAATTTGTTCCCACATAAAATTTAATTGGATAAAGTATTCTTAATCAGACATTTTATTTTGTTTGTTTTTGCTTTGGGGCCACACCTAGTGGTGCTTAGGAATGACTCTTGGCTCTGTGCTCAAGGATCACTCCTGGTGGGGCCTGGGACCATATGGGGTTTTGGGATCAAAGCCAGTTGGCCACATATGAGGCACGTTCCTTAGTCACTATACTATCACTCTGTTCTCTTGTTAGACATCTTATCCATTCAGAACTTTCTCTACTATTTCTAATGTATAAAACTTCTGTTGAGGAATTTTTCACCTGAATACATGTTGCAAACTCTCCAATTAAATCCATTTCTTTTCTTTAGAGAGATTTCAACACTTGCGAAGCACAGAAGTCTAGGTGACAAGCATTTCCACAATCTTGGAAAATTCTGGCTGCTTTAAGTTGCCTTAGATCCAATATTGACTTTTTTTTTTTTGGAAAAAGCTATGGCTTCACACAGTCTTAAGAGAATGAGGGATGTTGCCACCTGCGCTATCTGCCTGAAACTGATGACAGAGCCCATGATCATCGACTGTGGGCACAGCTACTGCCGCATGTGCATAGAGGGTATCACTGAGAACAAACCAGTGACATTGTCACAAAGGACATATTTCTGCCCACAGTGTCAAACACAAGTTAATAATGGAAGCTTGAGATCCAACAAGCAACTGCAAAGCCTCATTGAAACTATTAAAGAAATGAGTCTTGAAGATTTGTGTGAGGAACATGGAGAACAGCTCCGCCTATTCTGTGAGGACGATGGCCAGCTCATCTGCTGGTACTGTGAGCGGTCACCACAGCACAAAACACACACCACTCTTCTTGCTAGCGATGCCTGCCTTGTCTATAAGGTGAGTGTATAGGCAACAGGGCTTCACCCTTACCTGCTCTTAAGTTGCTCCCTGAGACCTGAGATCATTTATCATTTTTCTGAGATTGTGATCAAGAAAAACAGCTTTCTGAAATACAGTCCTTCTGAAATTAGTTTCTAACAGGTACCCATGAAATCAGTTCCTGATGATACACATTGAACCTCACCAAGAATGATCACACTCATATCAGTTGCTATCATGAAATATTTCTACACAAGCTTCATGTTTGATTCTCTGATTGTGTATAATATTTGAGGAACTGATATGGTCAACTCATGTGATAAAATATAAAATCATAATGGACATAGACATAGCACTTCATAAGTATCCTCTAATCAATGAGGGTAAATAAATAGCTTGGCGTCTATTATTTTGAGTGGTGGAAAGGATCTTAATAGGTGGGAAACAGTGTCTTCACACAGATGAGTCCCAAAGCACAAATACAAATGACAATATATAAAAATGTAGAGGAAACCACTATAGAGTGATTATTATCTTGGTCATTGTGTAAGATCTTTCTGATATAACTAGATTGGGTAGAAATAGCTCAGACGCTAGTTAGGGGTTGAATTTAGAATAGCAGTTCAATATCTATCAGCTATGCTTCCTGAAAAGTTATGCTTTCTAACTCTGAAGTTGTATAGTGCAGAAATGGTGTTAAAGTATCATCCAACTGCTTGGAATTGCTAAGGTGATCAATTGTTACTGTGCATTCAGCTCTTAGCATGCTTGCTCTTGAGGGATAATAAGCCATAAATAATCTCTTAGAAGACAGAAATTCCCCTTTAGTACCTAATAAAGAGTTTTCAAATTAACTTGACTTCATTTACACATTTTTCCTCAGAAAAAGATTCAGGAAACTGTGGAAAAACTGAAGGAAATGGAAAATAAATGCAACAGTATGGAAACATCGACAAATAACCATACATTTGAATATATGGTAAGAATAAGGTATTGTTGATATCTCAGTTTTTCATTATAGAGCTTAAATACAGTCAATAAGGAAAACATAATAATGATTCATTCACTACATATCACAACACGTAGATAAACCATAAGGAAAAGTTTATTTATTTTTATGTCCCCTTTTTGTCTAAGTTTGAAGAAGCTATCTGCAATCCCTTCACCCTATTCAAACTTCACACAGCTATAAGAAAATATGAAATCTTGTATGATGTTATAATTTGTATAGAACCATAGCATCACATTAAACAAAATGAAACATTAAGAGAAAGACAAATACTAGATGATGTCACTCATGTGGTATATAAAGAAATAAAGCAAGAGAAGAGACAATTTCAAATAAAAGCAAATACTGGGGCCGGAGCAATAGCACAGCGGGTAGGGCGTTTGTCTTGCACGCGGCCAACCTGGGTTCAATCCCCGGCATCCCATATGGTCCCCCAAGCACCACCAGGAGTAATTCCTGAGTGCAGAGCCAGGAATAACCCCTGAGCATCGCTGGGTGTGATCCAAAAAGCAAAATAAATAAATAAATAAATAAAATAAAAAAATAAATAAATAAAAGCAAACCCTTAGAGTATGACAATAGAAGTAAAATTACTAAGAAAGGGATGAATATGAGATGGGGTAGTCAAAAACTGACCAATGGACTCTGATGGAAGGACATTGGCACTTTAGTATTGGCATGGCACAGTAACACACCTACCGTATAAACATTAAAACTATTGTAAACCATGCCTATCTCATAGCAAACATTTCTAAGTTTCACAACCATCTTGTTATTCGTCGATTGCCTCAAGCAAGCCCCAGTAACGTCTCCTTCATCCTAGCCCTGAGATTTTTTTTTAAAAGTGCCATATTCAAAGCTCTTTCAGAGTTAGGAGAATGAGACCCTTCATCGTTACTGGTATTTGACATATTGGGTACGCCACGGGGAGTTTGCCAGACTCTGCCTTGTGGGCAGGTTACATTCGGTAGCCTGCCTGTTTATCCAAAGTAGGAATGAGATGATAAGATGCTAAAATTTCTAAGTTTAAACAACTAAAATTTTAATAACTTCTGATTAAAAGAAGTAAACTCTGTTGTGTGGTAAATTTACCCTCAAGTGGATGTTGTGAGTCCTAAGATAATGCGATCAGAAGGTGAGGACTAGGAACACAAGCACTACAAGTTGAGATCATGGTGTTAAATCTTCTGAGAACTTAGAGGAACAGCCCTGCTGAACAGCATAAAGTTGAAATGAAGACTTTGGCTTTCTGAGACTGTTTGTTTGGCTGGCCAGCCTCCTCAGGAACAGAGACACGATCTTTATGGAGATATTGATGGCATTAGTTCTCAGACAAACCATGCAGGACAGGAGGGTGTCTTGCCTCTTTCAATGGTATTTCCAACCTCTGCCCTCTCCCCTGTGTCTAAATGTTAAACCTGAATTCTTTTTTTGTTTTTTAAATATTTTTAAAACTTACTTTTGAATCTGAGTCACCACGAGATACATAGTCACAAAGCTGTTCATGACCAGGTTTCGGTCATACAGTGATCCAACACCCATCCCACCAGTGTCCATTTCCCACCACCAATGACCCCAGTTTCCCTCCTCCGCCCTCCCAGCCTGCCCCTATGGCTCTATGGCAGGCATTTTCCTTCTCTCCCTCCCTCCTTATCCTTATCACCCTCCTGGCCTCCTTCTCTTCCTCACCCCCTTTTTTGGTGGGTACTATGGTCTGTAACACAGATACTGGGAGGTTATCATGTTTGTTCCTTTTCCTACCTTTATCACTCAGTTCCTATCCAGAGTGATCATTTCCAAGTATCTTTGTCATAGTGGTTCCTTCTCTATCCAAATTTTCTTCTCCCCCAGCACTTGAGGCAAACTTCTAATTGTAGACTAATCCTTCTTGCCCTTGTTTCTTCGGTATTAGTCTCATATTTTTTTAATATTTAAAAAATGGGTGGCTGGTCCTGGAGGTCTTCGGCTGCCGGAGCCCCGGTCGGGGCGGGGAGGAAAGCTCAACCCGCTCCCCTCCAAGGGGTCCCGGTGAGGGACTCCCAGGCGCGGGGGCAAAAGACTGCACTGTTCTAGTCCGGGATCTGGATTTTATAGTCTCTGAGTCTTGGCCGCTGATGGGATTACACGGCGCCAGGGGGCCAGGTGGTGGGTGTGACCCCCGCCTGCTGGAATTTGGAGGATCTGGATGGAAGATGCTCGACTCCAATCCGAGTAGGCTTGGAGGTCTCGGCCCCGGAACCCGCGTGGCTTTGTCCCTCTGCCAGTACCTTCATGTGTGCGGAGAGTGGTCCAGCCACCACCATGCTGAGACCACTCTCCGCACACATGAAGGTACTGGCAGAGGGACAAAGCCACGCGGGTTCCGGGGCCGAGACCTCCAAGCCTACTCGGATTGGAGTCGAGCATCTTCCATCCAGATCCTCCAAATTCCAGCAGGCGGGGGTCACACCCACCACCTGGCCCCCTGGCGCCGTGTAATCCCATCAGCGGCCAAGACTCAGAGACTATAAAATCCAGATCCCGGACATCTTATCAGAATTTTTTATTATGACATCTTATTATCTCATTCCTACTTTGGACAAACTTGCAGGCTATCGAATGTAGCCTGCGCACAGGGCAGAGTCTGGCAAGCTCCCCGTGGCGTACCAAATATGCCAAATACCAGTAACAATGATGGGTCTCATTCTCCTAAAGAGCCGTGAATATAATCTCAGGGCTAGGATGAAAGAGACGTTACTGGGGCCTGCTCGAGGCAATCGATGATTAACAGAATGATGAAATGAAATGAAATGAATGAAAAAATGGGCGCAATAATTTTATTTGTGCTCTTCTTCTGACTCATTTTACTCAGCATGATACTCTCCATGTCCATCCTTTGTAAGCAAATTTTGTAACTTCATTTTTCCTAACTGCTGCATAGTATTCCATTGTGTAGATGTACCATAATTTCTTTAACTAGTTGTTTGTTCTTGAACACATAGGTTGTTTCCAGATTCCGGCTGTTGTCAATAGTGCTGCAATAAAAATTCAAGTGCAGATGGCATTTCTTCAATATGGTTTTGGGATCCCAGGGTTTATTCCCAGAAGTGGTAATTCAGGGTCATGTGACAAAAACAAAACAAAACAAGAGCATTCAGAGCTGGCATGGATGTGGGGAGAGAGGGACTCTCCTTCATTGTTGGTTGGAATGCCAACTGGTCCAACCTTCCTGGAGAACAATATGGGCATTCCCCATAAACCTAAATTCTTAAAGACTAATTTGCTTCCCTCATTTCTGGGATTTTGGTTAGAGGGAGAAATTTGATTGTGACTATAATAAAACTCCACTGATGGAGATTAAAACTAAACCCTATCTCATACATGAATATTCTACTGCATTCTAAATCCATAACCCTTCAACCTAAACTTTCTAGTTATTGATACACTGCATGATTTGAGGTAACACTAATGGAAATTGCTAGTCTTGGCTCCCCAAATTCAAGGTGAGAACCACAACATAGGTCACTTGGTTGTAATACATAAGGATTAAGTGGACTCTGGTGTGTGGATGAATATTTCTAGGACTACAATCGAAGCTTAGACTGAGACTACCTTTTTAAAGTTATGGAGTTACCTAACAGCCTTAATATAGAATTCGATGTTTATTATAAATTTTTGCTTCAAATAAAGTCCCCTGAAGGAAGAGATGGCTTCTTACCCCTCTGCCCAATTGAAGTTCGGTTTTATCTTTATATCTGAAAACATTTCACTTTGTTAAAATGCATGATTAACTTGTCTAGGACTCTTGCAATTTTGCATGAAGAATTAAAAAATGAATCAAATGGCACAGAGAATATAGTGACAACATTTTCCACTTTAGATTATTGGTATTCCAGGCATGACTTTTTATGGAGGAATGTGAGTCATTCTTCAAATTTGAATTGTTCATGAGTAAGTAATATCACAGTAGCTAAGCAATCTATCATGTATTTATATATGTAAAAATAAATACACCAGAAAATTTACTACTTTAACTATTTTAAGTGTAAAGTTAATTGGCACTCACACTGTAGTAAACAAATATTATAAACAAACATTCTATGTCCATTAAGTAACACATATGGCAATATGGCAATGACTATTTGTTTTCTTTCCCATATTCTTTTTTCTCTCTTTCCTTTTCCTTTTCTTTTGGCCACACCCAGCAATACTCAGGATTTACTCCTGGCTCTAGGCTCAGATATTAATCCTGACGTGCTTTTATAACTGTATGGGATTCAGGATCAAACGCAGTTCATCCTCATGCAAAGCAAACCCCCTCCCCGCTGTACTGTCTCTCTGGCCCCTAATTTTTCTTTTTTGTTTGAGACACATGATCTGAAGTACAGTTAATGATAGGGTTTCATGTATACAATGTTCCAACACCACGGCCTCCAGCAGAGTGTCTGATTCCCTTCACTTTTTTCTCTGTGTTCCACCCCATTTATACTCTCTCCCCTCACTCCCCCATTCCACCACTGTTAAGTTCACTCCTACAGACCAGTTAGTTTCCATGTTTCAAGTGCCTCTGACCTTTTGCTTTTTCCCCAATCTATGTTTCTTTGTATCTCACATAGGAGAGAGACTATTTTATATTTGTCCCTTTTATTCTGACTTCTCTCTTGTTTCAGCACATTACATGATTCATTTTTTTCTTAATCCAAATTGTATTCCATTTTGAATATGTGCCAGAGTTTCCTTATCAAATCATCTGTTCTGGACACCGGGGCTGTTCCATATCTTGTATTATGAATGAACACAGGAGCACAAATGTCTATTCAGAGTAGAGTTCTCAGATTGTGCAGTTGATGCCAAGTAATGGTACTGCTGGGTTGTATGGGAAGTCAATTTTTAGTCTTTTTGTGAAGGTTCACATTGTTTTCTAATAAGACTGTACCAGTCCACATTCCAGACTGTAGATGAGGGTTTCTTTTCCCCCACATTCATACTATCACTGGATGATTTTGCTCTCTTTTTTTTCTTTTTGGGTCACACTCAGAGATGCACAGGGGTCACTCCTGGCTCTGTACTCAGGAATTACCCCTGACAGTGCTCAGGGGACCATATGGGATGCTGGGAATCAAACCCGGGTTGGCCGCATGCAAGGCAAACGTCCTACCCGCTGTTCTATCACTCCAGCCCCTCTGCACGTCTCCTTTGAGATGTTTCTGTTCTTTTTTCTCCATATTTTTATGGGGTTTCTTTTTTTGTTATTGTTAAATTTAACATACTTATTATCTTGGATATTGTCTTTTGTGAGATGGATGATGGGCAAATATTTCCTCCCTGTCTTTGCAGTATCTTTTTACACTGGTTATCACTTCTTTTGTAGTGCAGAAGCTTCTTGATTTGATATAAACTCATTTGTTTATCTTTGATTCTGTTTGTTTGGCTAATAGCATCTCATTGAGGATGCCTCTAGATTCAAGGTCATGAAGGGTGATTTCTGTTTTTCTCAATATAGTTTATGGATTAAGGCTTGATACTGAGATGTTTAATTCATTTTGTGCTTGATTTGAGCTCATCTTTTTACATGTGACTGATCAGTTTTCAATCACTATTTAAGGAGAGTTTCCTTGCTCTATTTCATACTTTTTTCTTCTTTCTCAAAGATTAGCTGTTGGTATATATAAATATCTGTCTCTGGTCTCTCAATTCTATTCCATTGGTTTAAGAGTAGGTCTATATTTTAGTACCACTTCATATTGGTTACTACAGCTTTAATGTATAATTTAAAGTTAGAGAAGGAGAAGTCTCAACTTTTTTTTGGATGGCTTTGGATGTTTGGAGATTTTATTGAAAGCCTCCCTCTAAGATCAGGCACAAGAGAAGGCTGCCCACTCTCACCTCTGTCTTTTCAACGTAGTTTTGAAAGTCCTTGCCACAACAATTAGACAAGAAAAAGGAAAAAGATTGGAATAGAAGTTAAATGGTCACTATTTACAGATGAAATGATATTACACTTAAAAGCCCTAAAGACCACACACACACACACACACACACACACACACACACACACACACATCCTCCTAGAAACAATAAGCTTGACAAAATCAGCACACAGAAATCCATGGATTTCTATTTGTAAATAATAAAGTAGAAGAGAGAAAAACAAATAAAAAAGTCCCCATTCACAATTGTGCTTCAAAAAAATCAAGTACTTGGGAATGAGCTTAACAAAAGAGGTGAAAAACTTAGACAAAGAAAACTATATATCACTACTAAAAGAAGATACAACAAATGAAAACACTCAGTTCATGGACTAGAGAGATTAGTATTGTCAAAATGATAATCTCACTCAAAGCACTGTACAGATTGAATACAGTCCCATAAAAATACCCATGATATCTATTAGAGATAGAGCAAATGCTGTTGAAATTTAAAGGACAACTAACACCCCACCACCACCACCACCACCACCAACAGTCACTATTTGTTTTCTGTTTTTGAATTTTAACATTGTAATTCATATAAGAAAAATTATGTGATCCTGGTCCTTTTGTTTCTTGCTTATTTCAGCTAGCATGACATATCTGGCTTTCACCTATTAAACATGTTTCTCATTTTAGTGGAAATTTGGGAAGCAGAAAATGAAAATACAGTCTGAATTTACGAATCTTAAAAATTTCCTGCATGAGGAAGAGAAGTGTCATTTGTGGAGACTGGAGGGAGAAAGGGAGAAAGTTCTGAAGAGACTTCAGGAAGGTAAAGCAAGTCTGGAAAAGCAGAGTCAGGATCTCCAGACCCACATCCTACAGCTAGAGGAGAAATGTCAGGCCCCCGCCGAGATGCTGCTTCAGGTGAGGCTGCGTACTGGGAGGAAGGGAGCTGGGGGGTCTGTTTGCTCATGAGCTATTATGAATACCACAAGGTGTATACCCCACCCCACCACCTAAATGTAGCTCGACTGATTCACTGCTATGTAATATCTGCTGCCACTACCTTCGTGGCTCAAACCCACTGGGATTTACATGAACCACAACTAAAAAATGGTTGTGATAATATGGGCTTCTAATATGGCTTCCCCTGAAGAAAAATTAGATCAATGATAGTGACCTTTGAAGGGGATCATGGACACATTTCTGTCTTCTTTCCCCTGTGTCTCACAGGCTAATGTGATACTGATACTTTGGCTCTCCATGGGCCTCTGCAAGAAAGACAATAGACTCAGAGGGTGACAAATGTGCTGCCATGCTGAGTGGCTTAAGGAACTAGCACGCCAATAGTTTTATGTCCGATTTCTCAATATCTCAGGATTGGGTCATTCTTTACTTTACATAGGAAAGTCCTATGTACCTAGCCCCAAGACGTACAGATGTTCCCACTCTCACCTTTGTCTTGTTTCCCTGTAGGACGTGAAAGACATCTTGAACAGGTAAGTGAACTATGAAATGTGAGAGGGAGAAGGTGTGGGGATGCTATAGCTGAAAGGAATGACCCACTGACAAAATTGCTCATTGTTGCTCTTTTCTAGGAGTTCTACTGTGACACTGGAATTGCCAAAGAGTGTTTCTTTGAGTCTCGATAAGACCTGCAATGTTTCTGAGCTTTACTTTGATGTGAAGAAAATAACAAAGAGCAATCAAGGTACATCAAGTTGAGTTCTCTAAATGTAGCCAATGCTTTGAGGCCAGCTGCACACCCTAGGGTAAAAGGCAGCTCAGATAGAGAAGGGAGCACCAAATAAAGGGTTTTGGGAGGTTCCTCTCAGGATGGGAGATGCGTGATGAGAGTAGACTATAGACCAAACATGATTGCCACTCAAAGTCTCTTTTGCAAACCACAGCACTCTAAAGGAGAGAGATAACCAAAGGGAATGCCCTGCCACAGAGGTAGGGTGGGATGGGGGAGATGGGGGGTGGGAGGGATACTGGGATTCGTGGTGGTGGAGAATGGGCACTGGTGGAGGGACAGGTATTCAATCATTGTATAACTGAAACCCAAGCACAAAAATTTGTAAGTCTACAACCGTACCTCATGGTGTTTGAGGTACAGTTGTAGATGTAAAAAATGCAGCCAATGAAAGGGATCTCAAGCAGTAACCAAGTTTGCCATCTACCTCTGGGCAAGCTCACAGTGAAAGGGGGTGTTGGGTTCTTTTCAGTGGCTCTGTGCCTCTCTCCCTTGTGAATATGCTTCAGTGCCTAGACAGATGCACATCATACTAGAAAGCTTGCAGATCTTTCACAGTACTGTTCTCTAATTATTAGTTGTGTTACCCCAACCAAACCACTTTCATTTACCCGCTGTATAAATGACATATGAAAATTTCATACTTTGGGGAAAAACTTCCAGTCAGAGCTCCAAAATATTCACGAAACTCAAAAATTTCAGAATCTGGAAACAACTATTGTGATTAACTGTGTTTGCATGGGTGTGTCTAATAGGCTATATTCATTTCTCATAAATCTAAAGAATCTGACTTTAGTCCCAACACTTGCTTGCCTCCTATTTCTTCTGGAGGTTCTAGATTTCTCTGCTAGAGAGAGAAACGATGCAGATTTTATAAGCCAACTGGAAAGCAAAACAGTTTCATTCAGATTTGAGAGTATCCTAGGGATGTTACTTGTAGACTTGACTTTCAGTAATTCTGGGGATTTTATTTTGGTTTTAAAGATAATAATTTCCAGGGAGCCAATGCTGGAGCAACAGTGCTTGGTACACAGGCAACCAGTACCACTGGTGAAAATGTAAATGGCTGTGTTGAAGAGATAGTGCAAATGAAGATATCCGTTTTAAATCAAAGTGCTTTGCTCTTGTGGGATGTATGAAGGTTCCTCACTGGCAGTACTTAGAAGTTACTAATTTCTGCTTCACTGCTTTTGTGAAAGTATTGGGTTGCTTTGTTGTTCCCAGATTATTTCCTAGTTGTGGCATTTACATACCAAGGCCATTCTTACACATTTGCTTACTGTAACATATATACATAAAGAAATTTTCACTTGAAACAAAATTGGGAGACTAGAGTATAATAATTCAAAGGCATTATTATATTTGAATCCTCAAGTAGGAATATTTTTTTTTATTTTGAACTTTGAAGAAAATAGTCCCAGTCCCAGTTGTAAAGTTTTCTTAGAAGAATGTAATAGTTATATGATAATCTGTTAGCTCAAAGGAAAGTTGGCTTCCAACCTTAAGAGTTAGAAAAGATTTTTTTTGCCTGTTCTTAAACCATTGTATTTCATAGGTGAGTACACTTCTTTCAGGAGTTAATAATTTATCCAATTTTATGCAGTTACAATAATACTTCAGAATACCTCTGAGTTTCTAAATGCTTCTCATATTCTGATAAATTGCACTTTGTAATGCCTACCGCTCTGCTTTTTGACAACTTTTTGAAAATGGCAAACATTTGGAAGAGTCACCTTCCTTTGTAACAAATTAGGCATTTTGGGAGGGAAAGAAATCTTTTAACACTTTGAATAACTTTTGAGCAACAACAGGAGTAAGCCCTGAACACACTCAAAAATCCCGAGAACAGAAAGTTTCTTATAAATCTGCATAAAACGAGGAGGTCAAAGCACATGTACAGATGATTCTTACACAGATCGATAGTTAAGAGAACATCAGGTTCAGATCCACCCATGTGACTTATCTTGTTTATTTAAGCACTGCTCAGGCCACCCAGGACTGCTCCTGGTGACACTTGGTCAGTCATACTAGTGAGTGGCTTCAGTGATATGGCTTAAGGATGCCATGGGGCTCAGGTTCTGCAGAACCAGCGACCACCAGGGTCATCTTGGTTATGCTCTAGGACCACTAGAGCTACAAGAAGACCATGTGGTTCCAGGGATCAACCCTTGGCATAATATTTCCCTGTCCCCAAGTCATTTTATTGTAATCGGTTTGGGGGCCACACCTGGAAGTGCCTAGGAACCATATGTGGTGCTAGGCATCGAAACCTGATTAGCTGCGTGCAAGGCAAGCACCTTCTCTCTCAACCCTCAAATGTTCTATTTGGTTTGTTTTGAAGCACACCTGCTGATGTTGGATCCTCACTGGCAGTACTTAGAAGTTGTACTTCTACATGTGCCATGTATTGAGAGCTGTACTTTTGCCCTAGAGCTCCCGCATATGCCCCTGGTCCTTTGTGCTATCTTGGACTATCTCCTTGGCTTCCATATGTAAAAATAATTAACAAAACTTGCTTCTCATCTTTATGCTATATACAAGAGAAACTGGAATAATTCAGTAAATCACAAATGAAAGGTCCTTCAACCCAGGCAGCCAAAAAACAAGTTTGATGTGAGCTTTTCTTGTTGTATTGCTCTTTTTAAATCGGAAGTTACTTAAGATTTGCATTATTTAATTAACCAATAAATGATGATTTGTTCTTCTTATATATATTATATATTAGTTTGTTTATTTTGTTTTAGATATAGTAAGAAAGATATTAAATAAAACATGATATGACTATACTGGTACTTTACTGGAGCAATAGCACAGCGGGTAGTGTGTCTGCCTTGCAGGAGGCCAACCTGGGTTCAATTCTTCAGCCCCTCTCGGAGAGTATCTCGTCCACATGGCAAAGCCTGGCAAGCTACCCGTGATGTTTTTGATATGCCCAAAACAGTAACAACAAGTCTCACAATTTCTTGTGAGGCATTACTGGTGCCTGCTCGAGCAAATCGATGAACAATGGGAGGACAGTGCTACAGTGCTTCTTAAGAATATATAATTTTATGTCTGCAGTATATAACTTGAGTTAATTTCTCCTTGTCTGGATACAAGAGTTCTAATTCCAAAAGTCTTCATGTATATCTCCTTACGAGTAAGAGTTTAAGATCTTTCTTTTGAAATATCTTTTTCTTTAATCTGGCATCTCTCCTTCTCTTAAGAAAACAAATCAGTCAACCAGTTCGCCAACCCTTAATTTATGCAATATATCAAGAATAATTTTAAGTTGATGATAGATTCAGACCTTAGTCAGAATAAAAGTTGAAATCAATATATGTGTTAGAACTCTGACTTCGTCCTTTAAATAGAAAATGAGGCAGTACTTTAAGCAGAGGAGTGAGAGTAGAAGAATTATACTTTTGATAAATCCCTCTTTTTCTTCAAACATAGATGTGAAGGTGACAAAATTGGGAGACCAGAGGCTAAATTAGAAATTTCAGCATAAGCAATAATAAGTAATATGTATTCATGAAATAAGGAGAAGGCCTGAAGAATTATCATATAGACAAAAAACATGGTGGTTTCAAAGTGATGAAGTTGACAGTCAGGTATTTGTGAGGTCTTGGGTGTTTACTGATAATTAGCCTCATAAGTTTTCAATTATTTAATAATTCATGGTATTAGAGGTGGTGTGTAGGGGACGGGGTGAATAAAGAAGAATGCTTAAAACTGAACTGTTCTAACTTATAACGTAGCAAGACTAAGCTTTAGAACAGTTAATCTTGTAAAGAAATAGTAAGAGAGGCAAAACAAAGAAAGTTGCACCGTTTGCTTGTTAGAAGGATGAGTATCAAGGGAATAAGATCAGATGACTCATAGGAAGGCTACTACTATTCAAACAAGAGATGTAGGGGATTTAGACTAGCTGCAAAAGAGTCAAAAAAGAGAATGAAAATGGATTTGAAAACTAAGTCTGGGGCAGGGGAGGCAACACCTACGCAGAAAAGCCAAGCAAAATGGAAATGAGAACTAAGTCAGAGGGGTGAGGCACCACCTAGGCAGAAAACAAAAACAAGAGAATAGTGGAATTATCAACTAAGAAAGAAGCTCAGAAGTGTATGTAGGTTGCAGCTAAAGATTAGCATGCTGATAGTGATTAAAACTGTTAGAGTTGATGAGAACTACTGAGGACAGTGGACAAAGATAGAATTTCAGATAGCAGTTTTACTGGCAAGACGGAAGCAAAGAGAGCAGATGGAAAAATACAAGAAGGAAGGTTATGAAATGATTCCACTCACAGCACTGTTACTTCTGAGTCATCCTGCCTGTGTTGTGTCCTCTCCCCACAACTTACAAATATGTAAATAACACCTTGTGATTCCTGCTCCTTCCTTCCACTCTTACTTATAACAGATGCTTTGTCAGTTCCCATGCAATATTTCCCCCTTATAACTTCTAAAAACAAAGTTTAATAACATCTATTCATTTGTACATCCCCAGAACCTACTAAAATCTGTTTCTTGGTGAGTTTGTAACAAATGACATGAATGTAGTAGCTGCTGATGAGCTGAATTGCAGAGTAAAGAACAGAAAACTCTACATAGAAATGATCCTTTCAGAGTGGGAGAAGACTTGGTGAGCAGAGATGCTTCGCATGTAGGATCCCCAGGTTCCAGGCCTGGCATCACACACCACACAACTCCTCAAGTACTGTTGCATGTGGCCCCAAAACTTAAAAACAGAACTCAGTCAAGGGTGGATAGTATAGCAAATAGGATGCTTTCTTGTATGTGGTCAACAAGGTTCAGTCCCCGGCACTGCATATGGCCTCCAGGCTCATGCAAAGGACTTAAGGAGAAGAGGAAAACAATATTTACAAGTTAACAGAGCATAAAGAAAGAAGCTACAAATAAACATAGAGGAATGGGAGCACTGTGATGGGAGCAATCCAATAAACCTAAACCACCTGAGGCTATGCAGGAAGGACAAACCAAAGTTATCCAAAACCCATAAAATGAAAGTAAAATAGGTAATTATTCAAGAGGAAAATATGAGCATGAAAGCTTAGCTGGCTGTTATCTTTCTTTACACATGGGGAAGTGACATAACAAATATTTAGCACTCTTACAAATAGTTCCTGTTTTGAGTTACCAAGGATTTTTATTTTCGTTTATTCAACTATAGGAAAATATTTTGAAGTAAGCCTTTGATCATGTCAATTTACTGTTTATATCTAAATATTGCTCTTACTCATGAAATATGTTTGACTCCTTCATGTTATTTGAAAAAGAAAATAAAACTTTTGTTGGGATGACAGAGCTAGTAATGACTTTTGCCTTACACATGTCTGAGCCCACTTGAATCCCTGGTATCATATGTGGTCGCCCAAGCACAGCCATTAAGACCTAAACATTGCTGAGTGTGGCCCCCAAGTGCGAACCCGCAGACAGGGGATATGCACTAGGAAGCAAAGTCGTGACTACTTACACACACACAGACACACACACACACACACACACAGAGCCAGGAAGTCACATCTATGGTCGCACACATGCCTTGTGAGTTTGGCCCTTGGCACTACTGAATGTTGTCTTGATGGCAACCAACCTATCAACTCCACATCTCTGGGCCAAAATACAATGAGAAAAGCACATTAGCACTGCTTGGTAGGTCTCTGTTTAAAAGAAAAAGCAAAATCATTTGTTTTTTGGGGAAGACCACATCTGGGAATACTTAACACTTACTCCTGATTCAGAGATGACTCTTGGCAGTCCTCAGAGGGCAGTATACAGTGCCAGAGATAGAATCATGGTTAACCACTTGCAAAGCCTATGCCTCAAACCCTGAAGGATTTTTCCAGCCTGACTCATGTTAACTAGCATTGCTAATCATCTTTTTTTCTTTTGGGGTCACACCCGGCGCTGCACAGGGGTTACTCCTAGCTCTGTACTCAGGAGTCACTCCTGGCGGTGCTCAGGGGACCATATGGGACACTGGGAATCGAACCTGGGTTGGCCTCACACAAGGCAAATGCCCTACCCGGTATGCCATAGCCCCAGCCCATTGCTAATCATCTTTAAATAGAACTTTTTTAAGTTAGTTGTGTCTTCCTTGGTCTCATATTTTGTTTGAAACTTTAACATTAACTTTCTGGTCTTTTATTTTTGAAGGATTTGGTACATCTTTCTCATCATTGAATTCGGGAGCCTCAGCCTTCAAACTTGGAATCCCATCATTTTCTTCTGGGTCCACACTCAAGACTGCATTAAATACTGAAAACTTTAAATCTGGAGATCAGGGAGGCTTCAAAGTAGGTGTATCAACAAATTTTGGGGCTATAAAGCCCATGAATTTCAACTTTTCTAAATCAATGGAAGACTTTAAATTTGGAATTTCATGTGATTCTAAATCTGAAGAAGCTAAAGACAGTCAAACCAGTGATAATTCTAAGTTTGGACTTTTTACTTCTTTAAGCAATCCAGCTTCTGTAATGCCATTTCAATTTGGAACGCCTAATCTTGGGCTGCAAGTAAAGAAAGAAGTACCGCCTAAACCATCACCGGCAGGCTTCAGCTTAGGTGCAACTACTGCTAATACCACAGTGACTTCTGATAAGAGCAAGTTCAGCTCTGGAACCCTGGAAAACAAGAGTGATTTGAAGAGCAAGTTGAGCTTTGGAACCCTGGAAAGCAAGAGTGACTCGGGATCTCCTTTCACATGGAAGATGCCAGATGCTAAAAAAGAATTACCAGGTGCCAAAGCAGGGTTCACTTCTGGCAACACAGTACCTACCTCTCTGCCATCTGCCTCATTGTTTGTTTTGGGAAGGACAGGAGCTAAACAACAAAAGCCTGTTACTTCTACTTCTCAGGTGTTTGGGAAGAAAACTGACAATGAAGAGCCAAAGTGTCAACCAGTGTTTTCCTTTGGGAGTTCAGAGCAAACCAAAGATGCGTCACCCTTCAGTTTCAGCACAGCAAAACCATGTGGAAAGGAAATGGAACAGTCAAGGAAGGCCACTTTCGCTTTTGGAGATCAAACAGCTACTATAGCTGGTAGGAATTAAATGTGCTTTTTTTTTTTAGTATCTGAACAATTTAGCAAGCCAAGGAAGACTTTCCTCTGAACTATAGCAGAGAGAGTCACAGTTAATGGAATTCTCTGGAAAGTAGCATAGCCCTTCAGTTGTAAATTCCCCAAACTGCCATGATTCTGCTAATATTATCTGCATATCAGATCTTGAGAAATGGAGCTCTAACAGAGTCTCACAATAACACAGATTTAGTCATGAATTTCTTCCTTGGGAATTTTACAATCAGAATTGATGCATAATTTCTCTACTTTTTTTAAAAAAAATGAAGGCATTTTCTCTTTAGCTTCTGTTCTATTTTCTGCACAATAAAATCTTTATGTTTAGGCCTCTACAGATAACTGATCATTAGCATGTAAGGAAAGCAGACAGAATCCTGAAGGAATAAATAATGTGTCATTTAAAAGATGAACCAGTCATTCTCTAAACAGAGTAGCAGTAAAAAACACTTATCTGATTACCATATTAGTGAAGTGACATTTTCTACTACAGAGTACAAAATAATAGCTTTATTAATACTACAGTCATCATTTTCATTGGAATAGCTATGGAATTATTATCATAGGAGAAGCCAAGGAAGTTTTTTTTAACATAGACCATGAAAAGCTATGGAGGAAATACTAAAGTAGAAAAAGAAAATTTTCTAGATTCAGGCTTACCTATTCCTTCAAACCAACAATTAATAGCTGGACACTAGCACAGCAGGTTGGGCGTTTGTCTTGCATGAGGCCAACATGGGTTTGATTCCTCCTGCACTCTTGGAGAGCCAGGCAAGCTACTGATAGTATCCTGCCTGCAAGGCAGAGCCTGTCAAGCTCCCAATACTGTACATGATATACTAAATACAGTAACAACAAATCTCACAATGGAGACATTGCTGGTTCCCCCCTCGAGCAAATCAATGAACAACGGGACCACAGTGCTACAGTGCTATTTTTCAGTAGTCATAGAATCCAGAACTTACCTTTGCACATCAGAAGCCTTTAAGACTTCCTGGTTGAAATATTCCCCACCTCCAATATAATTTTATTTCTTGTGGACCTTTTGTGGAATTGACAAGCTAGCTCTAAAATACAAATGAAAGGGGAAGTGCACAAGGTTTTGTGGTAGAAGGACATGCATGTTATTAGATTTGCTCTTCTACTACAACTATCATGCTGCAAAATTAAAATTTTCTAGTAATATTAACTGTAGAGGAAGCAAAAACATGTAAATTTAATGTATCATAATGGCAAGAAAAGAACCACTAGTTAGTGCTAAAGAAAAAGTTTGCTATTATTCATGTGAATTAAAGTGCAGTAATCTTAGTAAGAAAGTGCAAATCATATATACATAAACAAGCAGCAATCTTCCACGATCTAAATTTACTGTACAAACACAATATCCACCTTAATTTGGATTAAAAGGGTATTTATTAATCTAATGCTATGGGTTGAGAAGACAGAACATCCACAAGCTATAAATGTTGTCTATATTTATTATATAAACATTTATTATGACAACTGTCATTTGATAAAAAAATCTCAAATCTATACAGAAATGAAATTTTCTTATGAATATTCAGATTATTGGGTAGTAAAAAGGCCCTCCCGTTGATCGTCGATTTGCTCGAGCGGGCCCAGTAACGTCTCCATTGGAGACTTTGTTGTTACTGTGTCTGGCATATCGAATACTCTCAGTAGCTTGCCAGGCTCTCCGAGAGGGGCGGAGGAATCGAACTCGGGTCGGCCATGTTGGCCGCTTATAAGGCGAACGCCCTACCGCTGTGCTATCTGCTTTTTAGAATTAACCTCTTTGATAAGATTTGGGTCGGTGAATTTCTGTCTTACAATTCCAGGTGCAACAAAGCCATCTTTCACGTTTTCAAACAGCAATTCCTCTAATTCAAGTCCAGCAGCTGCATCCCCTGGAGGTGGTCTGTTTGGTGTCTCCGCCTCTTCTTCCCCTGTGCCAGGGGTGGCCTTTTCCTTCCCACAGGACAGCAACACTGCAGGCAGCTTTGCCTTTGGTAACTCTGGTGAATCCAGGACATCTCAACCTTCATTGTTTTCTCAAGAAAGCAAACCAGGTACAGTTGCCTCTCTGGTTATGTTTGATTGAGGAGCCAACAGTGATAAGACTGTGATATCCGGTGTCAGCTTTGGAGCTACAACCACATCCATAGTAACTTGGCTGGGACGTTCCTGCCACACTGTCCTATTTTACTGTCTATTGCATAATCATGGACTTTACTTGCATATTTAAACATGTTCCAATGACTTAAAAACAAATTATTTTAACCCTCCAAAGCAGGCTGAAAAGACCAGGACATCACTTCCTCTGATAGTGTAACCCTCGGAACCATCACCCAGTCTGTGTAATTTTGTAAAATCCAGCCACCTGGTGCACATTGTAAGAGAGTGATGTGTTTTCTCAATATTGCACGGTGTATGTTTTTCTAAATGTAAAACAGAAAGGTATAAGCATGTATGAACAGTGTAATGTTGAAGCAAACACTTGTAGAACCGCAGCCTGGGCGGCCTTAAGATCTCTAAAATGTTTTTTTTTTAATAATTTTTTCCTGAGTTGTTTTCTGTAAATGGAATGTAACTATAGTCATTGCTTGAATTCTTGCATTTTCTTCTTTTTTATAACGTTCATCCACATGATCGCATATAGTTTGCTTTCATTGTTGTAGATTATTATGTGAATGAACCACAGTTCCAGGGTGGGGGTAGGAGGGTGTTGAGCCAAAACTATTGGTGCTCAGGGACCCCTTAGGGGTCCACACGACTCCTGCTATTGCTCAAGGTCCCATATAGGTGCCAGGGATCAAACTAGGGTCATCCACTGGCAAGCTTCTTAACATCTATGACCTCTCTGGCCTTGAAATTGCTACAATTATTCATAATTCAGCTTTCTGTAGTTCCATGTCTGTGTGCCTGGGACAGGGGCACACATAAACCTGTTGTCCTGGGAGAGGGGTTGTGGGATTAAGAAACAAGCTTGTTTTATACTCTAGATAATACACACATCCATGGATATGTTGTGTCAATTTTGTTTACTCATTGGCATCAGTAATTGTCTCCATGTAAATATTTTCTCCATAATACCTATACCTGTCATGAATTATAACTAAGAACTAAGAACTGTTGGGTTTGTTTTTGGTGTAGATATCACAATTTTTATGTTTTAAAGTTTTTTCACTGCCTAAAAGACATTTTCTCACATCAGATTTACTAGGCTTGATGACCAGCTGTGAATTTTGTGATCATTTTTTTTTGGCTAACCATTTTCATTTCAAGCCTTTTTCCTTATTATTCCCTTATTTTTTCTTTCATCTTACTTTTTTTTTGATTCTGGTTTGATCAGAAAGAATTCCTTAAGAGTGATATAAATGCAATTTTTGGGGAGGGACCACAGGGGTTACTCGTGGCTCAGTCGTTGGGCTCACTTCTGGTGGTGCTCAGGAGACCAGATGGATTAAATTTATAGTGTACTGCATGCAAAGCATGTGCTCAGCCCACTGACCTTCTGTTTTGGCGTTTTAATGTGAATTTTGAAGAAGGTAAAACCACACACATCTGTTGGTCCCACTATCTTTACAATCAGAAGTCCACTCTCTCAATTCCCCTCTTGGTTCATAAGGCAAATTGTGTCATTTTTTCAGAGGTAACAAGTGTTGGGCAAGGGATGGTTGATCATCCCCTGGCTCACCCTTGCTGGCATGCAACTCGGGTGTCATACATGAAAGTCAGACTATACTCAGCCAGCAGGGTTCAGTCTTTCCATGCTAGAAACTGAGCTGCTCCTATCCTGCATACCAGAATCTCTAGGCTTCCCCCAGTCATCTTCAGGGCTCTGTGCAGTTCTGAGTTTCAAACTCAAGCCCTGGAATATGCAAAGCTCTCCAAAAAGCCACACTATCCCCTTGGTCCTTGCCTTTGCTCTAACTTGTGAGACAGCAATCACATTTTTATTCTAATGGCATTTTCTCTTTCAACTGACTTAGGCTCAGATTTGGGATTTGGCTGCAGTAGAGCAAGCTCCAACTTTCTAACAACGCACAACAACAACAACGCACTCGGAGTATTCATTTTTGCTCCTCAGAAAGCGCCAGCAGCCTCAGTCCAGACTTCTGGCTCAGGAGCCTTTACCGTGAACCAGGCCCCAGCAGCATTCACAATGGGGTAAGCGAACTTGTTGTTGAAATAGAGAATCGAACCTGCTAAGAATGTGCCAGGCCTGAGTTCTGTTCTTAGCATCCATTCAGTATCCTCAAGAATGTTCTCCACCTTCAATGTATTCTGTTTTACCCTTCTGGTAGAATTATTGCCCAAGAATAAAAGCTCGTGTTGGTGTGTGAATGTGTGTGCGTACTTGTATGTGTGTCTGCATTTCTTTGGGTGTCAGTGTAGGGACAACAGGAAACGTGTTTGGTTACATTTTTCCTAGTCACACTCTATCCGTGGTCACATTTAGTGCTACCATTCTTAAAGGTATTTTCTGTTTCTTTGGTTCTTTTTTTTGAACATCATGTCACAAGATTTTCTTTTATTCCACAGGTCAAATGGGCAAAATATATTCTCTTCCCGAACTCCAATTTCTGGCTGCAAGAAAAGGACGAATATTAGAAGCAAGAAACAAAGGTCATGATGATGTCAAACACTATTTTTAGCATCTGGTGCCCTCTCCCATACTGGGTTCCAATATGTGGGGCTTATTTGAAGCCAGAGCTGCAAAGACATTTCTTTAATTTGGACACTTTCCTCCTGTTTCTTTTGTTTCAGAAATCCCACATCTCTCTATCTGTTTAAAAGATTGTAGCATCTGGTAACTGATTTTTTTCAGCAAAACTGTTCTATGATCCAACAAATTATCCACTGATTTGGCATAGGCTAGCTGAGCCCAGGAATAAACTCACTTTACCAGTGGTTTTGTATAGAACCTCTTTGTACATCTGTGTGCATTGCCATGTGTTTATAAAATGCCTGATAACTGTCATTTTATCAGTGGAATTCTGTATAGATTTGAGGATGCTGAAATGAATAATTTCTCTGCTGAGTTTGTGCTGGTGTACATGTGGAGTGAGTTGGGTATATTGGATACTAAATTTTCTGTCAGACAAAGCCTAATTACCAAAGAGTTCCCAGATCTGGTTCTTTCTCCATTTAGTAGTCACATGCGCTTTCTGTATTTTCATTCTATCACCTGTCTTACCTTTTTATTATTTTATTATCAAACTTGTGTAAATTAAAATTTTTATCATGAGATAAAGTTGCAGACTTATAAATTTTCGTGATTACGTTTCCATGAAACAATGTTCAAGTACTCACTCCTCCATCAAGCCCATTCTCCACCACTAATGTTCCCAGTTCCCTCCCACCACCCCTACTCCTTCCCACCCCCTGCTTCTGTGTCAGATCCATTCCCTCTTTCTCTCTCCTCTTGGGTGTTATGGTTTGCAATATAGGCACTAAGCAGCCATCATGTAAATTCAGTTTTGTTTCTGTACATTTTTGGTGTAACTAATCTGTGAATGTGAAATTTTAATGTTCGGTTAAAATATTTTTGTTTGTTTAGTCTTGGCTCATACTTTATTATGTAACTCCTGTGTAATCACAAAACGACTAGGAAACCCCACAGCGCTCTCTCTCTCTCTCTCTCTCTCTCTCTCTCTCTCTCTCGACGCCTGCGTTCAGTGGTCTCCGTCCACTTACCCAACTGGGATGGTTGATGCTATGGGTGGATAAAGGAGAAAACAAGGGCCAGGCTGGTTGGTGATCAGTTGCCATTCATTCTATTCTCCCCACATGCCTGTTCCAATCTCACTAAGCCCCTCATTCTATTCTCACACTGCCCCTCATTCCCTCTTCTCCTGTCTCTTCTGCTCATCTCTCTGTGCTCCAACTCGCTGCCTTGGTCTCTCTCTAGTCTCTAATCTCTCTCCATCTCCCAGCACTGGGGGTAGCAACCAGACACCAAGATCTGGTAGGACAATCAACATATGAAAGCCCTTTCTGATAGCTTGCAGCCAGGGCATCAGGTTCAAGGACAAAAAACCCCTAAATAGGGGTTTCTCTCCTTTCCTTACACCAATAACTAATTTAACATCGTAATTAACATCTTAATTCTACTTCTTAATATTAGTAATTTCGTATGGACACCGTAAGAGATGCAATAAGCTTGCAGGGTGGCTCTCCTGAGGGCATCTCGCCAGAGATCTCAGACTACAGTGCTCAGGCCAGATTAATCTTTCCTTACCCTAGCAGGGTCCTAATTCAGTTGTTATTTTTTGGATCATGACAGAATTTGTCCAGGACCATGCTCTTAACTTACAGTTAAGTATTGTGGCTCTTTGGTTTGACCCATTTCAATGCCAGGGTAGCTCACAGCTTGCCCTGTATCCATGCGGTCCCTCGTCAGGACCCTGCTTTTGGGGTGCTGGAAGTAAGGGCAACTGATGTTTAAGTTGAGAGAACAGATGCACAGGAATGAATATTATTTGGAGTCAATTAACTCCCAAGTTACAAAGCATAGCATTAACTGTCTTCTTGTATCTATACAAAAAGGACATAACTCTGAATTAACTATGTAAAGGACTTTAGGGGAAGAGAAAAGCAATACTTACAAGTTAACAGACTCTGATTAGAAGATAAAGGTGATTGACTGGTTGAGGAAGCATAACACAAAGAAAGAGGTAACAAATAAACACAGAGGAATGGGAGCACTGTGATCGGAGTAACCCAATAAACCTGAGCTTCCTATGGCAAGTCAGAAAGGAGAAATCAATGTTATCCTACAACTCCGATTACTTGAAGTTGCCTAAATCCTTCTGTGAATCTTAAACAAAAATTGGGGTTGTTTTTAATGTTTGAAACTTTAAACACCATAATTTACAAAGTTGTTCTTAATACAGTTGTTTCAGGAATACCATATTCCAACACCAGTCACATCACAAGTAAGATCTTTCCTCCACAAATAACCCACCCCTCCAAATTGGGGAATCTCAAAAATCAATTTTCTTTGAATCAAAATCCATTATTGTACAGAGTATTAAGCAAATATATTTGTGTGTATCTATACACACACATATATACATATTTGTATATATATATATACACACACACATATATACGTGTGTGTTTGTATATATCACTTGATCACTTCACTTGATCACTTGACTTCCCGTTAATCATCGATTTGCTGAGTGGGCGCCAGTAACGTCTCCATTTATCCCTGTCACATGCTAGTGTAGTCCAGTGGAGTCTGTTGATTGTAGAAACACGAAGAGCCTCAAACCGATCGTTCAGGGTCTTGATGAAGAAGTCTGACCATCTGGTAGGTGGGCAGCCTCACAGACTTTGACATCCCATGGAATCCAGTCGGTAATGGCTCTAGTACAGCGGTCGTCTCCAAATCTCATTACGTGTCCAGCCCATCTGATTTTTGATACCTTGGCAAACGAGAGAGCCTCCCTGAATCTTGATCTTTGATGGAGGTCGGAACTTTGGATTCTTTGCCTCATTTGAGTGAAACGTGATACTCCAAGCACAGCTCTTTTGATTCCTCTTTGGGAGACCCCAATAGCGTTCTCATCCTGTTTGCTTGGGCCCAGGTTTCTGAGGCGTATGTTAATGCAGGAGGAACAGAGGAATCAAAGAGATGTGCCTGGAGCTGGAGGTTCTTTGTCCTCTTAGCTATTTCTTCAAAGCTCTTGAAGGCATTCCAAGCTGCTCTCTTCCTCCTGCGCAACTCAGGTGCCAGGTCATTCGTCATGTTGACTTCTCGATTTAGGTACACATAACTGTTGCATTTGGAGACGGTCGTTCTGTTGAGAGCGAATGGAACATCAGAAATGAGGCTATTTCTCATAAACATTGTCTTCGTGAGATTCAGCTCAAGTCCAACCTTTCCACACTCATGGTAGAAGTCAGCCAGCATTTGTGCTGCTTGGCTAATGTTTGGTGTTATTAGAACAATGTCTTCAGCAAAGCGGAGGTGGTGTAGTTGCCGACCATCTATCTTTACTCCCATTTCTTCCCATTCTAGTCGTTGCATGACGTTCTTGAGGGTGACGCTGAAGAGTTTCAGTGAAATGGTATCACCCTGCCGAACCCCTCTCTTGACATGGATGATCACTTCTTTGTAGAATGGTGAGATCCTGGTAGTGAATTCATAATACAGCTCATGGGGGATCCTAATGTATTGAGTTTGAATGCCCTGACTGGCTAGGGCTTTGATGACTGCTTCCATCTCAACAGACTCAAAGGCCTTCTTTAAATCAATGAATGTTAGACTGAGTGACATCTTGAACTCCCGAGAAACCTCATTGAGCTTGGTTATCCTGTGGATATGGTCGATGGTGCTGAATCCTTTTCAGAAACTGGCTTCCTAACATGGTTGTCCTTTATCTCGTGTTCTGCTAATCCTATTCAGGAATACTCTAATGAACAGCTTGTAGACGACAGACAATACGCAGATTGGGCGATAGTTGCCAATGTTGTGGATGTCTCCCTTCTTGTATAGTAGTACAGATCTGCTGGTTTTCCATTGGGATGGAACCTTGCATTCAGACAGGTAACGTGTGAAGAGCCAAGCCAGCATATTGATGAGTACTGACGGCAGGTTCTTCAGGTGTTCAGGTCTGACCTTGTCTGGACCTGGTGCTGTTCATTTCTTTACCGATGAAATGGCGTGCCAGATTTTGGAAGGGAGAACATTGGGAATGACATATCCATCCTGGGAAATTTGGTATGTCGGCAGGTGGACATGGCTATCAAAGAGATCTGAGTAGAAGTCATGAATAATCTTCTCCATTGCCCTTCTGGAAGATGTGATAGATCCATCAGGATGTCGGAGGGCAGTCATCTTCGTCTCTAAGTTGGCAAAGGACAGGCGGGCATTACGAATGCTTTTCCCCGCTTCTGCCGCATCTCCCAGCACTTCTGCTCTTCTCTCTTTGAGTTCTTCCTTTATTGCATCTCTGCACTGCTCTGCGAGCTCGGATGTTCGCTTGTGGTTGCCTGAGGCATGCGCCAAACCTCGTTGGTGAATAAGCTCAAGAGTGTTTGAAGACAGGCGTTTTTTTTTGTGGCGATCTCTCTCTTGGCATTCCTCACACAATCATGGAGGTGCTGAACCAGTTGATCGTATTCCTCATCATTGTTGTCAAGAACGGCATTTTCCTATATTGCAGCAATAGTGTCAAAGAGCTCCCAGTTGGTGGTCATTCTGGGAGTTCAGTAATATATATATACATATATATGTATATATGTATATGTATATATATATATGTATATATATATATTACTAAAATAGACTGAGGTGACTTTGAATCACTGTATCACTGTCATCCCATTGTTCATAGATTTGCTCCAGCAGGTGCCAGTAACGTCTGCATTACTCAGTAACGTCCCAGCCCTGAGTTTTTAGGAGCCTCTTCTTACTCATCTTTCCCAACGCTGCCATATTGGAGGCTCTTTCAGGGTCAGGGGAATGAGACCCACTTTTGTTACTGTTATTGGCACATCAAATATGCCATGGCATCTAGACAGGCTCTGCTTTGCCAGCAGAATACTCTCAGTAGCTTGCTAGGCTCTCCGAAAAAATTTTCTTATTATTCAAAGTCCTACCCCTACTGGTGTCCTCTCAAGGACTTTGAATAATAAGAAAAATGTTAATAGTAAAGCCATTTTATTATTGTATAATTAACATATTAAATAAACCATGGAATAAATGCCATCAAAGTTACCAAATACTTTTGGTTCCAGTGTTAAATCATAATGAAGGTTCATAAAAAATGAACACCTTTTGTTAAAGGTTCACAGTCATGAGTTAGAGAAATGGCAAAAAATATATTTTTATGTGATTTTGACAACTTCTCAGATGGAGAAAGTGTCTGAATTTACTACATAGGAAACAGTACCCTGCTTTTTGTCCTGTGCTGGGAATTACACCAATTTTGTGTCTTTATTCACACATCTTTTTGAAAGTTAAAAATAAACACAGTCATTCTCATTTGTGTTTGTATTTTTTGTTATTGTTATTGAGTTCTTGTAGATGCAAATTTCAGTAATGAAATTACTTTGTGTAATTTTTATTTTAGATTTCATATGTGTATTGTCTTGGGACTGAGAGCACTTGTAACAGCATCTGTTCATTTGTGTCTTTAATTTCTTTGATTTAATTTAAGGGCATAGTTTTTGGGCTTTAGAGTTCCTTTTCCTTTCTACCAGCCCGTAGCTGAGTCATACATCCCACACACTTCTTTTATGCTAGAGCTTCTGTCTCGGAGGGCGTAACTGCAGTTTTGTTTTATCACTTTTTGCTGGCATTTCTGAGTGCCCGATTTCATGTGATGGTACCTCGAATCCTTTCAAATACTAGGTGAAGGTGGACATTTATGTCTCTTTTGATGTGTGCAAGGGCTATGTTTAATTTCTTTTATTCAAAAAATTTTTTAATTAAGTTACTTATTGAATAACCATGAGAAAAGTTACAAAGCTTTCAGGTTGAAGTCTCGGTCATAAAATGATCAAACACCGATCCCTT